AGGTATATGACTAACTTACAGGGTAATCGAGGAATGGGCACATAATTTGAGGTAACCAACATCCCAGTTTTATACATCGGAAGAACTCCTATAAGAAAAAATGAACTGTTGGCAACCAGACCAGGCATCTAATTGAGACAGGCGTTTATTTGTCAAAATGTGTCGCCTCACCAGGCTAGTAAAAGAGACCAGTCATTTAATTGGGACTAGGCTTTTAATTGAAGTTTTAGGGTAGTTTAAAAATGAAATACTTCACATTACCTGGGAATGTGAGTGGAGGTAGTGCATCGAGGTCTGTAATCCAGCTTTAGACTACCAAGTCAAAAGGATCTGTGATGTTTAGCCTGGTTAGCTTGTCCAAACACCGCTGCTTGACCTCCATAGCTGGCACAATAACACACCACAGACCTCATAAGATGACGCCCGAGTTTTAACTATTTAGCACAACATAATGTCAGTTTCACATTCTCTGTATGTATTCAGCATAATAATCTAGTAAACATACAATTAATAAAAAGTAAATGTAAATAGGGGAAAATACATGTAAAGGGTTATATTCGCAGTAGAGGAAGCAGTGCAATCTCCCACCTGCCCATTTTAATGTGCTTTTGTCTTGCTTTCAGGCTGAACCCTGACTGAGGAAGGGAGGAAGGTTGGGGCCTGTCCAAGCCAGGGCTTAGTTCCCTAAGTATCCACTCCTATTGCACAGTCGAGTGTTGTTGCTTGTTTCAGTTGCTTTGGTGCAAATGAAAGTGACAACAGGTGCAATGGAGAGGCAAAGAAAGACAACCTCCAAAAAGGGAATGGTTTTACATGTGGTGTCCACAGACAGTTGATATCAACTGTAGATCGATCTATCCTTATCCTTCCTGACTGATTCTTCTCTAGTTTTGTGTTCTGCTAATGTCCTTGTCACTACTGTTAGTGACACATCCATACGTGCAGTGGCAAGACAGTTTGCTGTCACCCAGCACAGTCTGAAGAGCATGGAGGAGATACCAGGAGACCAGCTGTTACACAAGGAGAGCTGGTTGACAGCCGTAGGAGGGCATCAACGCGGCAGCAGGACCAGTATGTGCATGTTTCTGAAACTGTCAGAAACTCCATGAGGGTGACTTGAGGGCATGATGTCCTCTAGTCGGACGTGTGCTTACAGCCCAGCACCGCGCAGCTTGACTGGCATTCACCAGAGAACACCAGAATTGGCAGGTCTGCAACTGGCGCCCTCATCTCTTCACAGATAAGAGCAGGTTCACACTGAGCGCACGTGACAGGCGTGAAAGAGTCCGGAAATGCCATAGTTAACGTTATGCTGCCTGTAACATTATCCAGCATGACTGGTTAGGCGTTGGGTCAGTTATGGTCTAGGGAAGCATATCCTTGGAGGGTCGCAGAGACCTCCATGTCATAGCCAGTGGTACCCTGGCTGCTGTTAGATACCGGGATGATTTCAGTGTTCTTCTAATTTTTTTGAGCAGTATGTTTTTGTGGTTGCCAACAAAATGTTTTTTACACCTTGTTTTTAGTTCATATAGCCAAATTAATAAACATTATTGTTACGTCTTAGAAATCTTGTCTCTGCTATCCCTTTCTGTCAAACTGATCAGATACACAACAGCAAACTGAGTTAGAATGCTATATAAGCAACACAGCCTTGGACAGCTGGTAGCATAGTTTGGTCAGGATTATACTGTTAAGAGAAAAACTAAGTAAACAAATTGAAACAATCACAAAAGAGCATTTGGGCATTTGTGGAGTAGATAAAAGATGTCAATAGCCTGCTTGTTTGGATGTTGGAGATAATGGTGGATATAACAGTGGCTGTGTCTGAAGTCATTCCCTCATTCATTACTATCTATTCATTAAATGGTGGACTATGTAGTGAGTAGTGAGTGATTTCGGACACAGCCAATGTGCAGCTTTGGAACTCTGCTAGTAGTTGTTGCTACGAGGAACAGAATGTTCAACTGAAACCAACTGCTGTCGGCAGAATAGTGGGACTTGCACAATCTTGTCTGACTCCTCTGTTTTGACTGGCAACCCATTTTTTGCCATCTCATTCCAACTCTTGAGCTATTTTTCTCAGTATTGTTCAGCGTATTGTTATCAATGAATGACATTTAAACTTTGTTACAGCACATGAACCAGGACAGTTTTGGCCCATTTACCCAATACTGTAAAGGTCTGCCAACTAGCATAGTCAACTGAATTCAAATATTTTGCTTCACTAACACATTTACAGACTAGTTTACTGGTGATGGGTTTTTAGAGTATTCTAGCATTGAGCTGCATGGTAAAATTTTATCCTGGTTTCACAAACCTGGATAAGCCCTTACCTTGTTTTTTAGAGACCTTGAGTACTTGAATCCCAGTATCTCTGAGATTCTGCTTTCAGCCAGAGGCTCGTTGGCTGCCATCCTGCTCGGATACCGTTTCCGGGTATTCCAGCCACTGGGTATGTCCAACCCCCCTCCTGTTCCCTGCTCATTCAAGTCCCACTTAGCCTAATTCATTCAGGGTGTTACCATGAGATGACTCTTTCTTCTCAAAAACACCCAGAAAACAATGCGTGATAGCCCACATTAGCTTACACTATTATGTTTCTTGGTTAAAGCTGGTTTCAGTGGTGTAATGGAGGGTAAATGCAGGTATATGGGGTACACCCACCTCTGTTTCTTGCTGTTTACAGTATACCCACCGATCAGCCAAAAAGCTATTGGAATATGTAGGAGAGTATAACCACGTCCTCCTGGGTACCCTATCCATCTACCTAGTAGTACACCCACCTCATCAACCACTACACCACGAGCGAGTTTGTGCAGTATCTCTTGGACTTACAGCAGTTGGACCTCTAATGTTTACCATCCATCTTTTTAACAGCCTACACCCTGATTTTACCCTTACATTTCAGCTTAATGACTTCAAAGTTGCAAATAATTAGGCTAAATAAATAAATAAATCTTCACTCCATCCGACAATAGGACTACATCTTATCCCAGCTCTTATTAAGTTAGGGTATGATTTTAACATTGATATTCAAACCAAGCACTCCATGATTTATGGCTGCACCGTTTCATCAAACGGAAATATTTCTTGATGTCTTGTGCATCAATTTAGACACACTTCCGCCAAATTTAGTCTGGAACCAGTGGAAGGGTCTTTAACCAGGCTTCTTCTCTGTTGGTACAGAAATTAGTGGCTGCAGATATGGAGGAAACACTGCATAAAAATGTAGAGGACATGAATATAAGGTTTCTCGACAGTCCATGGAAGTCATATCCCAAATAAGACCAAATCCAAGATTTGGGTCCATGTCATTGGTTCGACAGCCCACTGGTTCGACATCCCATTAGTCCGACTGTCCGCGGTGCTGAACGGCTCGCGGCGGGCGTATGGTGCGCCGCGACCGGCTTGAGGCGGAGCAGGCTCACGGCTTATGTGTTTGTCACTTTCTTTTTCATTTTAACCCACACCATGATCTTTTCCTGACCCTAACCAAGTGGTTTTTGTGCCTAAACCTAACCAGACCTTAACCACAGGGCATCATGATGATTTCGGAACGGACTTCGGAACAATGAGTGTAATATGGTCGGAACAATGGGATGTCGAACTAATGGGCAGTTCCCTGTACAGTATGTGGATCATCCTCCACTAGTGACAGAAAATATATACATACATATATATATTTATATACACCTTTCAAATCAAAGTTACAGAAGTGCTTTGCAGTCAGTTTTGTTTTAAAACAGTAAAAGTACATAATGTGTTCCTGTACTGATACGTTAGGCCTCGGTGTCATTTTGAGTGGCTCCTAACTTATGGTTCAGAGAGTGTAGGTTTCACTTTCCCTGCTACACAAAATGGCGATAGTAGCCATGTTGGTTGCGCTAGGTTGCTCTATTGGCAGTTGAGCATCGCCGTCAGTTTCTGTCACGAGGCCGCATCAACCGTTAAAGTTTCACCGTGATAACGTCGTGTTGTCGGTCGTTCAGTGCTGTGACACTCCGTCCACCTATTGGCCTGATAGGGCGCCATGACACTGTTAACAACGGGATACAATGCAGATAGGCCTTATGGTAGGAAACAGGCTGATAAACAGGCGACAAGTGTTTGCAATTGCGACACAGCCGCCATGTTAGTGAAACGGTATCTTGTGTATCATAACGGCGTGTGATAAACGGCTGGTCACGAGTTTGATAGTTGTTTTTAATGTTTCAGTAGTCACCATTTTGAACGTTAGATAGTATAACAGAAACAAACAAACAGTCGCCGTATGTTCAGGCAAGATAATGCTATATTGGTGTTGCTATAATGTTAGCTTGTTCCTCGACGAAAAATTTTAACTACCATTAGCTCACTTCTGTTCCAGTTAAGTACGGTACCGTTAGACTGTATTGCGTTTGCCTTTATTTCATCGCTATAACATGTCGCTACCCAATTTACAGGACATTTCTTTTAGAGGAATAATTAGCCTAAGCATTCCTCAACGACGGCCTAGTTACCGTTACACCGGAGGCGATGAGCTAGCATGTTCGTCGCTAACTGAAAATCGGTGAGAAATTTGTTTTATATATATATATTTGTTATATGGTATTTTCTCTGCCGTGCGGCGCTAGCATCGTGTTAATGATTAATTATTAATCAAACTGCGATAACCTTTAGGGGGCGAATGGTAGGTGTGTCAGGCCTGTGCAGTGGTGTATTTTTAGAAATAAGACCAGAACTGAGTTGGCTTGGTTAACGGCTTTTTTTCCCCGACTAGCTGTAGATTGACGAGATATGTATTTTTACATTTCAGTGGAGCAATATAGCGGAATATTAGAGTATTGGTGTTAGTCTGTGGGTACGTTGTGTTCATTTCGGCATGGGTGGAGGTTTCATAATCCCGGGCATAGAATTATTCGATGTCCTATTACGGGACGGCCTCCAGCATCGGTCGTCCTATCCAGAGCCGGGCTTCGGGGGCAGCAGGCCAAGCGTAGGCTTCGGGACGTCCCTCCTCCTCCTAGCAACGCTCTCCGGCTCCTCCTCAAGAGGCGTGACCAGTCTGGACGATCTGCTTGAGCCCAATGGGCAGAAGCAAGAGTCAGTAGGAGCATCCCCGGTTAGGTAAGTCAATACACGGTCAATCTATTATGTAACGTTATACACAAAACCAACCGCTTATATTGTATTGAGACTTTTTTTGTTGTAATAAAAGCGGTTAGCGGATGATACACACAGGGTGATGATGTTACAGTCTTTATTGTCCTGGTTTGTTGTAAATCCAACCTTGTGTTGGCTCCCAGCACAAAGACCGGCAAACCCACATTGATAGTAGCAGAATGGATAGGGAGCCGGGAGGTTTCGACTTCCTCATCTGACTGCCATTGACTTCAATTAGTTTATCTATGTCGGCTGCTGTAATAACGTGCGTATGCGCGGTTAGTCACCTGCAATTACAACGTCTGTAACGGCTGTTGGAATGTGAATGCATCACTTTTTGCTTCTTGTTTGAACACAGTGTTAAAACACAAATATCCCTCGTGAGATCCTCTACACCATGCACGAAATTAGTGAAAGACAATCCCTGACAATGGAACTGCACATGCCGGTCTGCGTGGTAGTAACTGTACCACTTGTGGTGCATTGTATTTGTTTACCTTTAAGTAAAGTAACATGATCTGATGTTAAAGCTCAAGTGCCGTTGTCGGTGCGTGTGGTGCACTGGGGAACATTCGCGGCAAAAAAGTATACCACGTGAGGGAGGGGAGGGTGCATTAGCAACGTGGCTCGTGTCCTGTACATTCAGCCATAGCTCAGCTCATAATGTATATATGACAAGAAAACAGTCAGATACAACCAAAAGATGCAGATGTTACCATTATTTGACAGAAAGCACTCAGCTTTTATCATCCACTGTCAGACAATAGGAGATTAGAACCCACCCACTGGGACAGTATCATCCCCTTCCCCCACCCAGGAAGTCAGTGTGGGGTAGGGGTAAACCATAGACTGTATATATAACAATATGAAATGTACCTTTTTAAGTTTGGGAAGGTCATGCATGACAGAAAAACTAAGCTGGAGATCATAGCCTGTATGTCAGTGTTGAATGAATGATGTAGGCCAGTTGGTGGTGGTGGTGGTGGTGGTGTTGGCTCACGCATCCGATGTGGGGTGCACATTTAAACACAGGACTTGTACAAAGCTGTATAACAGATAAATATAACAAACCAAACATAAGTGTAATACAAGACAGTTAATTAAACACTCAGACATTCCATTTATTTACAAAATAAAATGAGATTATGTCTTTTTTTTTTGCGTTCTTAAAACTCCCTGCCAGTGTCTAATAAGAAGTAATATGAGACACAGTGAATTAGGTGTGATGGTTAAAGATAAATCCAAGCGGAGAGACTTGTGATTTAATTATAGTAATTGGGATCAAATTGCTCATTATTAGTGGATGGCCTGAGACCTGTACTACGAAGCAGAATTTGAAGTTAGCGAGGTAACTTCAAGGTTAACTCTGGGTTTTCAGTACTACGAAGCTGGTTCTGTATTTTTCAGGCTAAATCACCATGGTAACTTATGCTGAACAGCTAACCCACTCCAGAGCAGGTTAACTTCAGAGTATCGGATCACAACCTGTCAACAACCTGACCTCTGACCAATTAGATTGTTTAAGAAAAAAGTATCCATGGACAAATGTCTGAAGAGACAGGTTCAAAAAGAAAAAAAGAAAAGAGGAGCCTTTACTCTTTATTGTTGTAGGTCATTAGAATCGTTTCATTGTTCCAGGGCTCTATTTCCATTGGTTTTAAACAGATCTTCTAACAAACAGAGATCATCTACAAAACCAAACACATGATTTTAGCTGTATTTTAACTTGCGCATAGTTTACTTAGGTCTGCAGTGACTGGACATTGCTGCTACTTTTACACTCTGATTCATCACTGCACCTCAGAATAACATGAGACATCTACATGATGAGAACTAGGATAAAACATAATATTTAATTAGTAAAATAATCCACACACTGTTAACTGGCTCCTGTTATTGTAAATGCCACATTTCGGTCAGGTAGACCTCATCAGTCATTAACTACAGGTTACTTTTCCACCTGCTTCTACTGCATTGTAGGAACATTATTTGAATTGTTTTATGTGACATATTCATCATCAACCAACTCAACAGCAAAAAATACACTATACTAATGTCACATAGGCCTATAGCCCTGTGATACCTGCATATAATTTAACTATCGGCTGAAGTTTAATTTTTGGATAATGTTTAAATCTTTTCTGTATTTTCTGTTTTAGGATTACACAGTATTGTTTACATCCCACGCCACTGACATGTTACTGTCCCACAGTCCCAGGCACTTTCAGTACTGTTCCATCATTCATTGTTCTGACGATGTCACTCGTAATTAACACCCCTGCCTCTTTCACATGAATGCGCTCGTGGCTGGATAGGAAAACCCAGAGCTGACTGAACTAGTTGATAACCAGCTTTGTAGTACAGGTTATTCAGGTGAAGTTGAACTGGCTTCGTAGTACAAGCCTCTGGTCTATCTCTGAGCCACAGCTGCCCAACAGTCAAAATTTAAAGAATGTTGTGATTTTATGTTTGGTGTAGATCAAAATGTAAAATGAATTATATTCGTAATAATGAGTTGATGATAATAATGCTTTTGTTTATGAAATGATTAATTTTAGTTTTCTTTCTTAGACTGCTGCAAGATGGAAAGCACAGCAGTTGTGACTCCTGAATCCTTCCGTGATAAAAGCAGCCGCTATTATGTGGTGTGCTGGATCAACAACCTGCTGAAGACCAACTTCAAAGATGTGCGGCAGATGGGTTCAGGTGATTCATCACTATGAGCCAATATCAGTGTTTCCCCCACATGCACTTAGCAGCAGCACTGCTTGAAAAATGTCCTCGGGCTAACACTTCATATAATGCCGTGCAACGGTACAGCGGTACCTTTGTGACTTGTCACTAAATGTATTTTATTTGGAGTTAAGTTTCACACATTCATGTTCATACTTTCAGATATCAACCTTATTTCACTGTATTTTACTCGCACATTTCCTGCTGTTACTTCACATTAAAAGTTTTCCACCAGCAAACTAGCAGGAGGCTTTTATTGTGAAATGGCTAAATGCAATGTATTTGTCACTTAATTGCTGTGAGAGTCAGTGGGAGATCTTAATGAACAAGTAGAAACAGCCACAGTGAGCTGTTAGATGAAGAGCTGTGTGTAAAAAAGCCTGCACCACACCAGCATAGTTTGAATGGTCATGGTTACTCACAGCCCAGCTCTGCACAATACTCTCACTGCTATTGAAAAACAACACAAGAGTGTCTTTACTTCAATTTTCACAGACAACACTTTCTGATCTGTGTTTATTTTCTGCATGATCCCTCAGGGGCGTGTCACTGTCAGATCATGGACTGGGTTATTCCTGGCTCTGTTGACTTGACCAAGGTGAAGTTTGATGCACAGGGTGAGGATGACTGTAAGCACAACTTCAGTCTCCTCACTGAGGCCCTCAGCAAGAGCGGCATCACAAAGGTATGTACCCTTTCTTTAGCAGAGTAGATTACAGTTTATTTAGAATACTGGTAAGCAGACCTTGTACCTTAAGACAGAGCAAGGCCAGCTGTTTTCCCCTGTTTGTAGTCTTCATGCTGAGCTAGCCACAGTCTTTAATTATCTTCTCATGTGTTGATGAAACTGTTAAACTATATCCCTGATGTTCAAGATGAAAGTTATATTCATTTCTAAATTTTGTCATTTATTTTTCTTGGTTTAGTCGATTCCAGTAGAGGAGCTCATAAAAGGGGATTCTAAGAGCAACTTCGACATTCTGAAGTGGTTCAAAAATTTCTACACCACAAAAGGGAAAAATGAAGAATATGACCCTGTGAAAGCTCGGAACAGCCAGGATATCAGCCCTATTTTTGTACCTCCCGAGGTGCTTAGAGGTATCTTAACATTTTCTATCTCTGTGATAATAAAATAAGGTGGCGCATTGTGTTTCTGTCACCACATTTATAGTTACTGTGCTGTAATAATGTTTTTCTCTCACTTTGTTAGAGAAACCTAAACTGGAATCAGGTACAGAGAAGATCAGCACTGCAAAGACTAGAGAATTCCCTTTCTCTGAAACGTGGAAGGACATGTTTGATTGGGTTGAACGCAGTACTTTTGGAGAGGAATATACACTCTGCCGCTCTTGCAAGAAAAACCTGAAGACATATCAGAAAGGCGTTTTTGAACTCAGGCGACATGAGGCAACAAACAAACACAAGAAAAGGGCACATAATTACAGTGGTGTTGGCCTGCAGAGTAAACCCTCTGCTAATGGTGATCAACTGTCCAGACTTGCAGGCTGTAAAAGGTCGCTGCAATACTCCAAAGACATTGGATCTATTGGCCAACACACTCCGTATAGTGTGTATATTTATGAAGGGAATACCCTGGGAGAGGATGACGTTGCCTCTGTGGTCCTTATTGGGTATTTTGATGTTGAAGCCTCCAGGCACTTCATCCGATTCCTTGATGCTCTTCGGTCAGTGGATGGTCAAACAGCACCAGTGGTGGTGGAGACCTTGAAGAAATTTGGGTTACACACAGATAATCTTGCGGCTGTTTATTCTGATGGTAATGGTGCAGCCTCTGAGCAGATCTGCTCGCAGCTCAGGGAACTCAACTCGAACATAGTAGCCTTTGGAGGGCTGAATGCCATCACGGATGCTGCTTGTTTTGCAGGTGTTAAGGAGCTCAACAGTCTCCAAGATTTGATGGTAGACATCCATGCCCACCACTCCTCCTGCTCTACCAAGAATAACATCCTCGAGGCTCTTTTTGGCTCAGATACTAATGTGGAGGGTTCATCATTTAATCTCTACAACAACTGCCTTATGCTCTGCCTGTTAGTCTCAAAACTCTTGGAAACATGGACAGATCTCATAACGTACTTTAAGTCTTGCGACGAGGGTGATGACAAAGCCAAGTTAATCTGTTCCCAGCTGCAGGATCCCAAAGTCAGGGCAACATATATCTTCCTGGAGCAGGCTCTAAAGCCTCTGCTCAGTTTCCGAAAGCATCTGCAGACCCAGGAGGGAGCTACCAGGGCTGATATGCTGCTCATCCTAGAAGAAGCCAGTAGGCTGTTGTGTACCTACACCTCCTACTTCCTTCATCCTGAAGCTGCAGTTTGCTTCCTCAAAGAACGCGATGCTGACATCCTGAAGGACAAGAAATTCCACCTGTCCAGCCCTGAACTCAGTCTGGGCGGGAAAGCTGTGGAAGACCTCCTGAATGAGCCTGAGGCTACAGAGGTTCTACCACTGTTTAAAGAGGAGGTGTTGTCTTTCTACATCAGACTCACAGGTTGCATTGCAGAGAAGCTGCCTCTAGATGATGAGGTGCTCAGGAGCATAGCTCAGCTGCTGAATCCGCAGAGCGGGGTGAATGTGACTGGAGAAGTGGTTGGGGAGCTTGGGACCAAGCTGGGAATCTGCAGCTCCCCTGAGGAGGTCAGCCAGCTCACAAGTGAATTCCTTGAGTATCAGAAGGCTGAGGAGGGAGAGAAGGACAACTCAGTCGAGGTCTCAGTAGAGAAACACTGGGCCGTCGTACTGAAGGACACCAAGCCAACCTCACTCTTTAGAAAGCTTGTTTTGACCATGCTGTCTTTCCCCTGCCCTCCACTTGAGGCTAAGCAGATTTGTAAGGTATGTAAATTGAGGTGCTGTATCAACATCTTTTGTCTGTGTTAAGTTTTTGTGTGTTAAATTCTTTCTTGGCACTTGCTTTATTTCATTTCTCAGGTGCTAGAGAAAGAAGATGCTGCACTGTTGTCTGAGAATGAAACCTTAACAGAAAGTGAGTTGGAAGTCACGTCTGACAGCCTCCTCTCTGACAACACCAGCAGCACCCCGATTCGCACTAGAAATAAGAAGAAACAAAGTCCATCTGGTAAATTAAACAAGGAAGTTATATTTGCATTAAGTCAATGCATTGGATCCCACCTTATTCACACCTTTATCTTATTTTCTAGAACTGAATGGCCTTAATTTGAGGCCGTGTGAAGTCCGCCTTATAAAGATACATGGTAAGTAAAAAAAATGTTTACTTTAATTTGCAGAATTTACACTTTTTAAAAGAAAAATTCCAAATATGTTATTATGAAACTGTAATTTAACTCTTACAAATCTATTTTGTGAATTGAAGTACATTTTAGTCGAACTTGAGATGAGTAAAACATACAAGCCTTAAAAAAATATATTGTAATGAGCATCAGGTTGTGGATCATGTAATTTTCCAGATTTCCAGTTTTAACTAACATGTCAGAAACTCTTAAACGTACTAAAATACTTTTGTTTCCTTCCGCAGAACATGCTGGCGAGAATGGCACCCCGTGGAAAGAGGTAAAAGATTGTGAGAAAGAAACATTGTGGTGAAAATGGCTTTTTAATGACAAGTAGGACTTGGTTGTTCTGAATTCAAATGCAGCTGTGATGTCTGTTATTTGACCATGAATACGGTCAGCTGTACACACACACACAACTACACTGTAAGTCAGAACAACACAGAAACATACTTCGGCTGCATCATAATTCGCTCTTTGTGTTCCCTCTCATCTACTAACAGTCATTTTGCCTTCTGCGTACATCTTTATTTTTTATGACAAACATGATCACTGATATGATGCGGTGCAGTCTATGCCTAAAGGAAGGCAAGTATGTGTGTTTTGATGTGCATTTACATGTGCATTATATTTGAGTGTGTAATGAGAGTGTGTTGTCTCTCAGATGGCCATTAGGGGAGGTTTTGGCTGGGAGAGCAGCTTGCGCCAGAAGCCTCAGGCCCGTACAGTGTTTCAGGCTGGTGTTAGCACCTGGTCCAGCCCCGTAGGTGCTCATAAGAAGCCGGAGTCCCAAGATGAGGCGGTAGGTATACTCAGTATACTACCAGCTGAAGCTTTCATGCACAGTAGCGCAACATAAATGAGTACAGCCATCGTCAAATCTCTAAAGACGGATTTATACTTGTGCGTCAGCTCTATGCAGAGCCTATGTCGTAGCCTACTCACATGGCATACACCACTGTGAGCATTTATACTTGTGCGGTGGTGTGTCTGACACTCTACAGTTACATCTCCAAAACGAAGCCAAAAATGTGAATGAGAGGTTTTGTTATTTTATACTAGCTATAACAAGAGCATCTGGCACAATGACAAGCATGAGTATCTGATTGTGTGATTACAACTAGGGCTGAAGCTTGATAGCATTTGATCAAATCTAAATCCTTTTGAATAAGGCTCTTATAGACTGTGAGATTTTAGCAATCTTATAAGTTTAGTGCTGCCTAAGCTGTGGGACATGGATCTTATAAACTTGGGTATGACATCAAGTTTGACATATGCAGACTGTAGGATGACAACGCCTATGACGGATTACACTCTACAAACATCATCAGTGTGCGTCATCCATCTGTGACGCTGTAGGGATAAGAGAAAAATGAAAACAAGTATGATTCAAGCACTTGCTATAGTGGCCTTTATGTGTGTCGAAAAAGTCTGAGGAAGAGGAGGATAATGTGATGAGGTTGTGGCTTGGGAAAAGAGGCCAACTAACATTTGGCATTGTCACACTAATCAGTGCGTCATTTCAAGCTGCATGTCTGTTGGTTAGAAGATGTAGGTCGTAACAGCTGTCACACAGTTAGATGGTCACCCCAAATTTCTGGCACTGTCAGAGTTTTATCTCAGACTGTCTTTGATCGCAAGACCATGATAACGGCCATCCTTGAATCCCTCTCACTGTGCAACATAGGGCCAGCATTTTAGAACCACAAAACCACCAAAGATATCACCACCTTTCTTTCACCTTGTCATCTTTCATCTGTGACAGTCCACAGTTGCACAGTGTATACAAGGTTTAGAACACTGAAGGGAACTTTGAAAGGAACTTAGGTTCATTTTGTTACATTACTATGTTACATTTAACATAAAATAAGCACGTCTGTTCTGTGAAATGACTGAGTGATGGACATCACAAACACTTCCTGGGTGGATTACCCTTTAGACTCTGAGCTTAACAAATGAAAACATGAAAAATGCAACCATCAGAAGCCGATCCCACCGCTAACACACCTGCATTTCAGGTTCATCAGTCACTTTGTCCATGTGGTGCCTCCTAATAATAATAATAATAATAATAATAATACTGACTCCCATGTTTTAATTCAATTTATCATTTAACTTGAGACCACAGTGGAAAAGATTTTTTTCCTCCATTTTGATTAATCATTATATTTCAGTATGTCATACTGCTTTGAACAAATTAAATGTTCATATCTGAGCAATGATGAAGGGCTCAGCTGCTTCTTGTTTTTCGCAAATTCAGTAATAGTAATGCATTTGCTTTTTAAATACACAGATCTTCACCTGAACTACCTTTTGTCTTTGACTTAAATGTTTTGACTCTATTCTAAATGTATTTGACTCTCAGGCAGAAGAGACATCCAGTAAACCCACACCAAGACGACGACGGAAAGAGGCCTACCAGGTAATGTAACACCTATAGAAAGGATCCCACAATGCAGTTGTTCCCATAGTCTGCCAATCAAACATCATGTAGTAGAAAATCTTTTTCTTAGATGAAAATATAGTTTTGAATCATCTGTGCTTTTCTTTGGGTTTTTTATGTCTCCAGGATGGGAAAGGGTTTCCAACAGGAGAGCTGGTGTGGGGGAAAGTGAAGGGCTTTCCTTGTTGGCCTGGGATGGTGATGCCTTGGAAAACCAAGTCAGCTCCCCCAGGAATGCGGAGGGTGGAGTGGTTCGGAGACGGGATGTTCTCGGAGGTTAGTAGATGTGCTTGAGCTACAGAAACACATGACATCTTGAACTGGATTTTCATGTCCTCATTTTTACCTGTTTCAGATCTACACCGAGGGTCTGATGCCATTTCGTTTATTCACTAAGTGCTTCTGTAAAAACTCCTTTGCCAGCTTGCCCGTCTACAAGAAAGCCATCTACCAGATCATTGAGGTAAGAAACTAAAACTGTAACTAAATCAGAACATTGTTACACATCCTGTTCCTCAAATTTGATTTTTCTGTGCAAGTTCTCAACCTACACATCCTCTTTGCAACTTTTTTGTCGCCCACCAATGTAACTGTCACGGGTGTGGTCTGAACCCAATGGCAGCACAGAAGACAGAAAGACAGTTTGTAATAGTCTTTAATGAAACCACTTGTCATTGTGAAAAGTGAGAGTGAGAGATAATTTGTTGGCTCGGAACCTTCCAAGACACAAGTTGAGTCCAAAGCACTTGGTGTAGCACACCGAAGCAGAGAGCAGGTGAGTCAGTGGCGTCCACTGGATGCACACAAATGGCCAACAGTTCAAGTGTGTATAGCAGTACTGTGAGGGAGCTGATGGGAGGCAATGTCAGAGCTTTGTGACATAATGCGTTATCCTGCTGGAAGTAGCCATCAGAAGATGGGTACACTGTGGTCATAAAGGGATGGACACGGTCAGCAACAATACTCAGGTAGGCTGTGGTGTTTAAACCATGCTCACATGGTACTAAGGGGCCCAAAGTGTGCCAAGAAAATCTCCCCCACACCATTACACCACCAGCAGCCTGAACCGTTGATACAAGGCAGGATGGATCCATGCTTTCATGTTTTTTACACCAAATTCTGACCCTACCATCTGAATGTGGCAGCAGAAATCCAGACTCATCAGACCAGGCAATGTTTTTCCAGTTGTCGAATTTTGGTGAGCCAGTGCATGCCTAAATGCACTGAGTTGCTGCCACATGATTGGCTGATTTGCTTTTTGTGTTAATGAGCAGTTGAACAGGTGTGCCTAATAACGTGGCCGGTGAATGTACATTGCAAAGAAAAAAAAGTCCATCAAAACATTTTATTTGAAGTTTGTAAAAGCATATGGTCACATCTGTCATCCGCGTCCAGGCACTGTATAACTCCCTTTCCATCTCCTTGCAGTTTTTGTACCCATACAACTGAATTTACATTCAGTAACTACTATTTCTAATGTCAGAATGTTAACACTGGAAACACTGGGCATTTTTGCAGAGTCATTGTCATGTTTATTACAAATTCAGTAATATCTGCTGCCTTACGGTCGACACACAGCTTCACTCACTCACCAGGGCAGCTCTGGTCTGTGCTCGTCTTTGCTGTCTGTGGCACAGCAGCCTCAGTGTTGACAGGAGTGATGTGTAAACCATCAGACAGTGCTGTGAACAGGACGTTGATGCATCTGTATCAGAGCCAAAGTAGCACATATTTTAATTGATTTATTTTATCAATAATCAGATAAAAAAAGAATCCAGTAATCCTAAAAATACTGAATATCGTGGCCAGTAATTGCTCTACCACTACATCAAAGATATTTCATGCATCACGGTGTCAAGCTGATTGCTCCGAAACTCTGTGAATGTGTTAACTCAGTGCCAGGAAATGTTTGTAATCTGCAGTTGGCAGGTGAGCGATGTGGGAAGTCTTTTGCTGTGGCGGAAGGAAATAAAGAAAAAGAGCTGAAGCTGATGCTGGAATGGGCCTCTGAAGGATTTCTGCCAACAGGACCTGAAGGATTCGTTCCTCCTGGTAGGTCCACATTTACAAACGTTTGCTTATTTTTTTAATCACTAGATTTACAGACGCCCCAGGTAGAGGCTGTTTCAGACAGTGTTGCTGTATGTGTAAAAACAATTCCTCTTGATTCCATCTTTTCTTGGTCTTCAAGATGCTGGTGCACATCAAGATTCTGACTCTGCTGTGTCTGACAACCAGCCTCCTCCAAAAAGGAAATATGTTTTTAAAAACAAGGCAACTGCTCCCGCCATCGTCTACAACAGAGGTACGTATTTTTGTCCACATTTATTGCACAAACATGACATCAGACTCTTATGAAAATAAAAAAAATACCTCCTAGATTCAGTCATAGCTTTTATGATAATTTCATCAGTGTTTTCAGTGTTTGAGATTTGTTTTAATATTGTTCTTTACAGAATCAATAAGAGAAAATGTCAAAGGGAAAGGCAAAACAATTGAACGTAAGTTTTGTGCGAGCATATTGAAGAAGTTTCTGATTTAAAATCTTCTTTGATAATAATCATGAAATTCTTAATCTTAAGGTAACGGTTTGTTATTTCAGATTTTTGTTTGTCTTGTGGATCGACTGAGATTGAAGTGCAGCACCCTTTGTTTGAAGGTGGTCTTTGTCTAAGATGCAAGGTAATCTAATAACCCAACAATCTATCTCTGTCTGCTGTAGGTGGTCTGCTTTCCTCCATCCCAGCCCAGTTTGTGAATGTCTAACTCCCATCTGAAACACAGCTGCCATTAACATCCCAAATGCTGCAAAACTACCTTGTCACTTTTTGCAGGAAAACTTCTCGGAGACACTGTATCGCTACGATGAAGATGGCTACCAGTCGTATTGCACCGTGTGCTGTGCCGGCTTTGAGGTCATTCTGTGTGGCAATGCCAGCTGCTGCAGGTAAACACTGCTCAGTTGTTATACTGATGTTTATTGTTTATCACTGAAGCCTTCCGTGTGATTTTCTTTAATATTTCAAACCATGACACACAAATCTAAACTGACAATTCATATCAACTTTTAATGCAGATTTATTTTTGAAACACTTGAGAATGCCTGCTGAAGATGTTTTACTTTGACCTCCCATCACCATACAGTCCATTATGAATAGCATCAGGTGGATCAGAGTCCAACACTGTAGCCCCCTTTAGATAAAATCAAGGCAATTGCTGCAATTTGTGCAATTTGCCCATTCCCTCTGGTTCCTGCAGTTCTCACAATGCTTTGGAGGATGTAAACAGAAAGTCAAATGATGCTATTGATTCAGTAAATTACACTATTACATTTGGCAAATTGGCATCATGATAGAGGCTCTATGCAAAATTTAGAGCGAGTTGTCTGTGTCGTGGTGGTGGCTTAGGTGGGGGTTAGCAGCTAACAGTGCTAACTCCATAAACAGTGTAAACTAGAAAAGTGCACCTAGAGTGCAGATCTCCATCAGGTGGCCAGGTGGCTGCTGGAGCTAACTGTGGCCACATTGGACAATCCTTATAATTCTAGCAGATACAGTACGGTGCATTTCAGAAGCGTTCCAAAAGCTAATCACCATTAAAACAGTCCAAAAAAAAAAACATTTAAGTACATAGCCTACTTATTCACCGAGGGTGGAAGCACAAATATCAAGGACAAAGCGACCCAAAACAACAAAATCTGCAAGTCTACAAAATCAGGCAGGCAAGCTTCTGAAACTTGTTGTGGTATTGCACCGTGTGGCGGATGAACAAAACCAGGTCACAGCCATGGTAGGTGGTGGAATTGCCACTGCAACTCCCCTAGTCAAGATGGCAGCGACAATAAGAAAAACAATTGACTCATTCATCTCATATCATGCCTAACTGTAGTGGATCCTTACATGTCAGGTATGGAATTAATCTGCAGATGCTCTGGTTCAAATTTCCAGTCCAAACTTTTTTGTTAATGTCAGTTTTTGACCCATGACAAAGGCTAAATTTTGGCCTGCAACAAAACTTGTGACCCCTACTGGCTGGTTAAGAGGAGTAAGGATTCAGCAGTTAATCACGCCATTAAATAGTCAATACAACTGGCTTTTCATCAATTTTTAATCACTGTAACCCCAAGAGTTCCTTCAGCATACTGTCAGAAATGTGCATACAAAATATTAGGCTGATTGGTCCAGTAGTTTGTGAGATTAGCTACAGACAGATAGATACACACAACCAAACACATGATCCCCTCCAGGCTTAGTGCTAAAGGCAACAGTGCTGTTCTGTCAACCGAGACAGAACCAGAGGATGGGTAGTAACCACCGCATGAGGGCAGTGCAAAGCAGCAGTGATGAGCTAGCCAGTGGGAAACAAATATGTGCATTAATAATCTTGCACTGCCAAACAGGTCTACCACAACAAACTACAGAGAAGCTCAGATTACAACACAAACAGACGTAGTATGACTTCGTTCTCTGCTCAGGAAGCCATTACTCCACTAAATCTTGATACAAATGGTTCACTGCTGCACTAATGCTCTGACTGTGACATACAGAACTGTTAAAGGTATGCATAATTAGCTGTTTGCAATGTACCCATAAAATGTACAGACAGCTATTACCGGATGACTTTAATACTTAAGAAAACTTAAATATTTGTTGGTTCTAAGGCAAGTTCTGGAGTTATAAAGAGCATTTTTATATGATGTCTACGTGGGTTTATAGGCATTTGCTGTTGAATGAACATCAGAGTTCCATCATTTTATAAAGTTCAACTTCTTGCACAGTTATCATTTTCTTTTTCACATGTGTGTTCTCGGGTGTTTTCTGTCTCTCCCAGATGTTTCTGTAAGGACTGTCTGGATATCCTGGTGGGACCAGGAACCTTTGACAAGGTGAAAGATGTTGATCCCTGGAGGTGCTTCATGTGCAATCCGTCACAGTGCAAAGGAAACCTCAAACTCAGACCAGACTGGAGTGTCAAAGTTCAGGACTTCTTTGTCAACAACAGTGCCATGGCGTTTGTACGTACCACACTGTATTCTCTCAGTGCACAGAAGTACACACACACACACAATCACACAATCACACAGGCATTAAAGTTTATATGACAACGTGGTTGAGATTAATAATTTAAAAAACAGAGATAGTGTAGCCATTAAAGTTTATGAAAAAAATCGGTAAAAAGTAATGTCACTCTAACATATATATACTGTACATATTCTCTTAAAACAGTTAATTTAAGGTGTGTCAGTTTGATAAATAACTGAAACAATTAAGCAGTTATAAATAAAATAGTTTCTATATAGTAACATTGATCGAGTAGTTCAGTAGTAATTGTCGCAGCTATTAGAATTATTCCTCTCATGTTTATTGCAACCAAAGATGAAAACATTACATTTATTGATTTGTTACATTTCTCCACATTGCAAATATTTGTACATGAAGACGTATCTTAATATGAAAGTTTCACAGCTGTCTGTTGCTGAATATGCTGTTATATAACTAATCGGTACAGCTGTACTCAAAGTTGTGTCTTTTATTTTTAATTACAGGAGCCCCACAGAGTTTACCCCTCCATCCCTGCTGATCAGCGCAGACCAATCAGGGTGCTCTCACTTTTTGACGGCATTGCAACTGGTTTGTTCATCATCTTACATGACACCGCATCTCGTCTCTGATGTGTTGCCCATACCATAGGCTGTAAAAAAGGAGTGGAAGATTCTTCCAGGTCTGGAAAGTGATGCCAATGCAAAAGTGCCTCAAACCTGCATTCTTTCTAGTGTCCAACAGGGGGCGACTCCATTGGTTACAAAAAGAAATTGTATAGAGGTCTACGAGAAAATTACCCTGCTTCTCACTTTATATATTATCTTAGTAAACATTTTTATAGTGACTTAATGGTCTCTGTTGCTAGTTTTAAGTCTTCTTCAATACGGCATCATGTTTATTTATTTTTTTAGATTTTTTGGAGGGGCATTTTAGCCTTTAATCGATAGGACAGACAAGCGTGAAAGGGGGAGAGAGAGAGAGGGAGTGACATGCAGCACAGGGCCACAGGCTGGAGTCGAACCCAGGCCGCTGCGGCAACAGCCTTGTACATGGGGTGCCTGCTCTATCCACTAAGCCACCGACGCCCCGAGCATGATGTTTATTTTGTAAATTATGGTCCCATTTAGAATAAAATAGAGCCTGTTTACATCTGGTATTAACATGTGTCTTGGGTGATCCCATCACAAGTGGAAAGCACTAAATACAAGTGTAAACAACCACAGAGACACATTATTATCACTTTTGTAGTGGTTTGGTGACAGCACACTGATGCTTTATAGCTTGCCTGTTTTATGACGAGTTGGACTAAGTGTTACATGACCATCCACAGTTTTGCCCTGTGGAAGGAGCTGATTCAACTGCCAGCATGTCTCCAGCTGTACCAACACAGCAGCTAACATGACTAGCAAGCATGCTAGTGAGAGTGTGCAAGGGCCCCTTTGACCTTTTAGCGTAAGTGACATAGGCAGTGACAAAATCAGAACCCAAGTGGTCGGGTGGAGACGCATGATAAAACAGGTGTGACTGGCGATGTGTCTCATCTGTCCACTTATTTTCAGATTACCTAAACACATCAACACCTGGGGCCTGTATCACGAAGCAGGATTAATGTCTTAGCGAGGTAACTTAAGGGTTAACCCTGGGTTTTCGGTCTCACAAAGCGGTTCAGTTCTTATCGGGGTAGATCACCATGGTAACTTACTCTGAACGGCTATCCTGCTCCGGAGCAGGGTAAGTTCAGGGTTGAATCTGATCCTATAAAAAGCACCACCCACTGGCCAATCAGCTGTTGATGGCTGACAGAAATGCAGCCCCGTTATGACGGGAAGTTTAATTAATGTGATTGATTTTGATTTTAAAGTTTATTTTGAACATTAAAAAAGAAAAGAAAGCAACAACAACAGACAATGAAAAGATTGTTCAGAAAGGAGTGGAAAGAAGTCGAACTTTCATCCCACCCCTTCATAAGAAAGAAACTGATCATTTGCGGACACTTAATAGCACCATTAATTAGTGCCAACATTTTGTTTTGTTGGAGAAAATGATCCCTGTTAAAGAAAATGGGCCTAATTGACAGCTTTGCTGCTGGAAATGTGGAAAGTAGCCTATCATGTCTACACTTCATGGTGTTTGAGGGATTTTCCTTTTTGTTTTTTAAAGAGGGAGACTAGGTATATTTTTGCGCAGCTGTTAATTTCTAACACAGCTCAATGTCAGGATGATTTTATTCAGACTATCAATTTGGTGTTGATATGATTTAATTGTGACATCAGCTTTAAGCTTTATTGTAGCATATATAACGTTATGACAAAGACCAATTTATCAGATGCAATGATGTTAGACGATAATTGTAATACACGCAATTCATCTGCGCAGCACTGATTTCATGGGATTCAAGGGTGTGATCAGTGTCAGATGTACAGGTACAGGTACTGTAGCTACTTGAACCAGTGATGAGTAATTTAACCTACACATCATTTTATTTGCTACCAGGGGAATTTCTTTGATAAGCTTTTAGTGGCTTATAACCTCTCCGGCACTTTTCTTTTTTTAATCTTGTAAATGTTATACTGTCTGTTTTTAACATTATGTGCAAATAAACTAATCTAAACTAAAACTAAACATTATTCATCTCGTTATGCGCTGCCACGCATGTTTCCTCCTCCTGCAGCTGCCACGGTGTTGGCCTTTTCTCTAATGTTGCTTTTCTCCTCCTCATATTTTAGTAGAATTAATCTCTGATCCTCACGAGAAACACTTTTTTTGCCCTCACATATGGTGCTCTGTGAGGACGCTCAGTGACACTGCGCTTCTCTCATGATTGTGATTGGTCCGCTGCGTGCGCGTTCACGGCTCTTGATAAAGCAACCCTGGGTTGAGTTACCGAGTTGATATCCAGCGTCGTGATACCGATTATCCTGATTGCCATTGTTAGGGTTAGTCAACCCAGGATAGGTCTGGGTAACTCAGGAAAGGTTGATCTCGCTTCGTGATACAGGCCCCTGGTGTAAAAGGGCAAAGAGACAATAGGCAAGGTATGCTTTATGCTACCTTGTGATTGACAAGTTGCCACATGGTGGTGTCCTTGGGTTCTCAGGCAAATCCACCCTCCTCTACTAAACAGCTCTAGCCTCTTGTCCAAAAATGGCCACTTCTGGCTAAAAAAAAAAAACAGCTGAAATGCCAAACTCGGGGCATTGACAAGTGATGCCACAGTGGCTTCTTTCACTTCTTTTATACAGTCTCTAATTTTAATAAGGGAAATGGTAATGGAGTTTACACTGCATAAAATGTGTGTATCGTTCTTACCTACTGTTGTATCTTGACAGGATACCTGGTGCTCAAAGACCTGGGCTTCAAGATTGAGCGCTACATTGCCTCCGAGATCTGTGAGGATTCAATCGCTGTGGGGATGATCAAGCATGCGGGAAAGATCGAATATGTCAACGATGTTCGTAGCATCACAAGGAAACACGTGCGTACAAGCTGGAGTGCATGTGTGCTTCACTAACCACAAACCTGAACTCAAACGACATAAGCTGAACTATTCCAAGATTGTGTCAGATCAAAGAGGCTAAACAATATAAAGATATGAAATTAAACTCTGTAGTTTTGTGTTGCAGGTGGCTGAATGGGGTCCGTTTGATCTTCTGATTGGAGGCAGTCCATGTAACGACCTGTCCATGGTCAACCCTCTTCGAAAAGGATTGTTTGGTATGCGGCCTCCAAGCTTCTTTTTAAAGGCATTTTGGTAGCTGAAGGGTAGCAAACAAACAAGTGCCTGATAACATACTGGCTGAAATAAGGACTCAGCACATAATGTTCTGTAATGAACCTCTCTGTTTGTCTCTCTGTTTGCCTGCAGAGGGCACTGGAAGACTCTTTTTTGAGTTCTACCGCCTTCTGACCCTGTTGAAGCCAAAGGAGGATGATGACCGTCCATTCTTCTGGTTGTTTGAGAACGTGGTTTTCATGAGTGCCAATGACAAGTCAGATATCTGCAGATTCCTTGAGGTGATTTTATTTGATCACAGGTGAAAGTATCCTTTCAGTCCGATGGCAGGAAACAGATTGCATTAAACTTTATTGTTCTCCCTCTTTTTCAGTGCAATCCGATTCTTATCGATGCAGTCAAAGTCAGTCCTGCTCATAGAGCGCGCTACTTTTGGGGAAACCTTCCTGGCATGAACAGGTACATACTAAAACACAATCATATTCCTTCTCCTCATGCATATTCTCACATTGGAAAACAAAAAATGAGTTCTCTAAAAAGAAGTGTTCCATTTACATGCCTGTCTGCATTTCTCTTTAGACCTCTTGCCTCATCTCTGGATGATAAAGTGGGCCTCCAGGACTGTTTGGAAGTCGGACGTGTGGCAAAGGTAGGAGCATTTAAGCCTGTTTCCACCAAACACTTTTGGTATGGTACCTTTGGAACCAAAAGTAACCCTTCAGACATGGTACCTAGACCCTGCCGTTTGTCACTCACTGCTCCGTCCAGCAATCATTGTATTTCCTCATTATCTGTGACACAGAGGGAAGTCTGCACCTTGTTTATCGTCCACAGAATGAGGGTGCACGCCGACATTTTCTGAACAAAATAAAACAGGCTGCAGTGAGAGTCTATCTCCATGGGATATTTAAAAATAGCAGGTTTGCACATTTAGTCCTTGTCAGGCAAGCTCAGGGGTTTAGTGTTGCTGTGTGAGGAGTGAGGATTAGAATATATGCAGTTCACATAACCTGGCAGAAATTAATATAAATCAACACCTGGAGATCCACTCATTACTAAAAGTGTATGTCATATAAAAACAAATGGAATGGTCAGAGTTGTCAGATGGAATATTTAATGTGTGTTGATTGATTCAAGTCGTCATCTCATGCATTGAGTAACATTACAAGTTGAAGTTCCACCTTAAAAGTCGCCAGCAGTCGGCTCAGTGAATTAAGTTATTTTTTTCTCCAGCTGCTGTGAGAGGCAGCAAAACATCCTCTCATTTTATAGTTACAGTCTACTAATAAAACTCTCCACAGTATGAACAGTGGTTACATGAGCCTCAAAACCAGACACAACTCAGCCCTGAGCAGAGTGAGCGTCCCCTATTGACCAATCAGACTGCAGTGTTCACAGCTCTACCTTTTAGTACCAGATCTGTGTGCTAGGTACCCCAACAGAGGGGGGACCAAAAATGGGGACCGTATGGAACGGTTCCATTGGTACCATCCACAACTTTTCACATTGGAGACGAAAAGAAAAGCGTACTGAAATTAACTGAACCGCACGGTACTGCTCAGTGGAAATGGGTCTTTAGTTTACTGTGTATATGATCGATAGTGACAGCTCAGAAAGGAATGTGGTCCGTCCATTAATCAGAGCGTTGGAGGTTCGATTTCTGGCTCCTCACATATCGAAGTGTCCTTGGACCTCAAGTTGCTCACAGCATATTAGTGCAGTCTATTTACCATTTAACCTGAAGTGAGTACACTCTGTTGTTGTTTGTTGTTGTTGAAGCAGCCACATAAACAGGAAAGCATGGTGTCTGCGGGTCTTTAAAAGTCTTCCAAAGAATTCTGTTTTCTCAAAAACTGTGTCTTTGATATAATTACAAATGGCAGCAATGTCACCTTGAAAACATTTTTGTATCTGATTACAGGCTGTTGGGAGATCTTTTATGTTTATGAACTAAAAGTGCGACTGTCTTAACTGTAGAGTTTGTTTGTAGGGCGCTCTTCAGTCCCTTATTGTGGAGTTTCAGTCATCACCACCAGACCTATAGCAAACAGTGTCACTTATGCAAGCTACAGTAGCTAGGAAACTCATTGCTTCATAATTTTAGCATAAACTTTAACTAATCATTTTAATCGGTTAGTCTCTCTATCATAAAGAATTATTGTTATATACTGCTGGGAACCACTGAAGAAATGTAATATGATAATAAATAATGCTACACCATACTGCCATACTGGTTTTCAGTCATACTTTCATACTTTGTCTTGTTTAAAACAGGTATAGAGTTGCATTCTCTGTGGTATTAAAGAACAAACAATCTGATTCTGATTTGTTGTCTTTCCCTGCAGTTTGAAAAAGTCCGCACCATCACAACAAAGAGTAACTCTATAAGGCAGGGGAAGATGGGACCACTACCTGTCTCCATGAACGGCAAGGAGGACTACCTGTGGTGCACCGAAATGGAACAGTGAGCATTTGTGGAAAATATATTTTTTGCAGGCCACGTCTGGGTTGTGACCACATATTTTGTAATTAACATTTTGCACTTGATTGACTCTTTCAGGATCTTTGGCTTCCCCAAACACTACACAGACGTAAACAACATGGGCCGGAACCAGAGGCAGAAAGTCCTGGGTCGCTCCTGGAGCGTTCCTGTTATTCGTCACCTCTTCGCCCCGCTGAAGGATTATTTTGAATGTGAATAACGTCTGTGAACTGAACAGCAGCGGTAAACCTACTGCCTTATCCCGCCCTGCATAACTAGGTAGTTCAGACTCTCCTGTCTTTTCCTGAAACTTTTAATTTAGTAGCTTGACTTTTAGAAGGATTTAATCATGAGCTACTTTTAATCCTGTGAGTTGTCAGTAATCTGTGAGCCACTATCACCAGACACTTTTTAATTTTTTTTCAGGTTTCTTTTGACAAATTATGTTACTGTTATCAAAATTTTTGCTCCGAACATGGACCAGAATCACGAAGCAAGATCAGACGATCAAGATCTTTGGGCTCAACTCAGGTTTCCTGTGTCACGAAGCTGGTTCACCTGTAATCGGGAATATCACCTTGGTAACCTGCCAACAGCTCCATCACTGACCAATCAGCTGAGTGAAAAAATTATTCATTCCTACAGGATCCTGACACAGACCTTTTTTACACAGGGATACAGCCATAGAGGTGTAATGAAGACCCCTCATTACACTGCCTATGCTATTTTGAATACAAAACCAAACAACACCAGCATAATGCTGCTCTTGAGTGTGATCTTAGACAGCATGCCAGTATTCTGGAAGCAAGTGGACATTTTCTGCTGCTCTTTAAGCTAGCTGCTAACTCCTGCTAGCTGCATTTTAAATGTCCTGACGGTGTGTCGCACACACAATACGTCATCAAAACGTCACATCGGTTTTATCCTGCTGACTGTCTGTTGTACACAGACATCAGTTTGGTGCTGTTACTACCTCCGCTGTAGGCTTAAAGGCGAGCCAACTCTGTTCTCCTCATTCCATGATCGCACCTTTTATACATAACGGCGAGGTGGAATAACAGCGTGACATTCTGGCCTTGAACAGGCAGTGTGAAAAGGGCTACTGAGAGTGCAATGAAGCGATAAAGTTGCAATAGAGACATTTTTATAGAAAACTATAATCACTTTGCCTACCATAATAATTATAATAATTGTAATATATGTAAGGCAGCAGGAAGAGTTTTAAATTAAACTGGTTTTAATTATATCACCAATCCTAAATAGCTCAATCATCATTGGATGAAATACCTTCTCATTGTTTTATAATGATAGATTAATATGTTTGTATTGGTAACCAGCCTCATGATACTGGTTATTTGGGATCACCATGTTAGTAACCCAATGAGAGCTGTTGAACTTGCTTCGTGGTTCGGTCCTCAGGTCTCTACCTCAACACCGATTTAATGGTTAAAAATCGACAGTTTCATTTTTTATCCTTTATTTAATTTATGAATATGAAATCTTTCTATGTGATTGTGTTTCTATTTTCTATTATTTTATTACATAACCCTACCAGGGGTTTTAAGTCAGATCTAATTATGTTCATCATTAGCTGTGATGAATGTTAATATTGTTTTTAGTAGCTGTTTTTTTTAATATCCTTTTTAATATGTTTTTTATCCTAATTACATTCATCTGACTGTAGTGCACCAGTGGGTTTCAGAGTTACCGCACTGGGTTTGCATTGGTGCTAACATTTTTACTGTTTAAAGCACTGCTAATTGATACCAAAAATATGTTCTGTCTGCTCATTTAGAACAGTTGTGAGTGTTTTCAATATTACTGTAATAAGGACAAGAGTGCAGAGGTCTGACAAACAGTGAACAGTGTCTTCTAATGTAGGAGACGTATAGGATCATTACAATGGTTTTGCACAATTCTCACCCCAAAAATGGCGATGGAGGCTTTTAAACTTTTTACTTAAATAGAGCAGTGAGCCTTGAACTTGTAACCAGAGGCCTAACTGTGTATCAGGACCACCTGCTTTGTGTTTCATCACTGTCAGATCCAACTGGTGCTTCCTTTAATGTTTCTTTCTGTCACCTTGGACTCCGAAAAGTTGGATTTTGGATTTTAAACCACTGTTTGGACAAAAACAATCACATTGTGTGATGGGCAGATTATCCAGTAATGAAAGCAGTTGTTATTGGCTGCCCTCCTATAAATTTTGTTAACAGCAGTAATGTTTATGTATCATATACACAAACACCATCGATGTGGTCCGTTAAATCTCAGTGAGACATGAACCATTGGTCTGCATGAGTGTACTTTTGTTTTGTTAAAATGTTTGATATTTTTTTAATGAAACCTTTTTTAAATTTTTTTAAAACATCAACAGTACTGTTCAGGTAGAGCTAAACTACGGTTTACGCTCACCTGTGTTTTCATTGTTTAAATGGATCATGTTATCTTTACTGAAAATTACAAGGAGCTCTATACGATATTCAGAGTGTATCTGTGATTCAGAGGTTGTCTGCATGTGGCTCTCAACATGGAGGAGGCTGAGCCGGCAGCTAGCAGCTAATGGTGCTAACAGCATGAAAAGTGCTAACAACAGCAACGGTGCTAACAGAGCTAAAGACTTTCGCGCACAAAGTCAGTTTTTATAATCTGTTATCTTAGGAAAAAAACAACCATTGCACACTGATTCTGATGCGTTTTATTCATTGTGAAAATTCGCAATTCGTGACAACGTTAAAAGACACCTTTGCCTCTCTCCATTGGAGTTACCTATCTGACTGTCTTGCATTTTGCACCGCAGCTGCATGAAGGGGCGGAGCTGTCCTCCACATTCTGTCTGCAGTCCACACCCCTCCTCCTCTTCATCATCATCCACCTGAATATTACTATCTTACCTGTTGAAAGTGAGCTACTTGAGTTATGAAATGATTTTGTGCACCCCGTTCCTCTGTCTTGTTGCAGCTGAGTCCCACTGCCACGTTTTCTTCACTGACTCTTGGTCAAACGTCTCTGAAGGCTCTGACGGAAGCAAAAAACGCAGAAAATTGAACCTGTTCCGAAATCCTAAATGACGGACAAAAGTTCAAACGTGATTGACACGTGACGTTGTATTTATTTTTAGAACAATTTTGGACAAAAGAAAACAGACTCAGTGTGCAAAGGCCTTTACAGTGTTATCCTGGGGGGAACTAGAGCATGGGAGCTACTGTCCCAATATCAGCGCTAACCACCGTATGAGGGCAGTGTGAGGCCCTGATCACACAGAAAGCTTTTTGCAGGTTGGCGCACTGCCTTCTTTTATTGAATACCACCAGCAAAAAAAAATAGCTTGCTTCGCCTTTTTATTGTTGCCAGGAAACCACAGACTCACCTCCGTATTCTAACCTTCCCGTGTAATCAATCTACAGGGAGAGGGTACTTGCTGTATCTCTGGCTGAGGGTGAGAAGCTGTAAGCAAGTAGTTTGTTGGGCACAGGGAAACGGAGATCTGTGTGGGTACATGAGACCCTAAAAAAAGAGGGTGGATCAGGGGGAGTACCACCAGTTGGTCCAGGAGTTGGTCCTTGATGTTGGCGTGAGATGACATGGGGCAGTACAGAGCGCTCCGGCAAAAACGACATCGCAGAAACCTCAAGCAAAAAGCTTCATTCTCATTAAAAACAATTTCAAAAAGTCGCCTCCAGCTGCTGAAACACTTTCTGTGTGATCAGGGCCTTAAGCAGCAGTGATGATAGCCCGTGGGAAGAACGTACATGCACTAACAGGCATGTGCGGCTGGACCATCTGCCACAACAAGAGACAGAGAAGCTCAGATTGCATCACACACAGATGTAGCATGACATCATTCTTTGCTCTGGACGCCACCACACATCCATATCTTTACCAAGCAGATCGTTGTTTGCTGCTTCATTAATACTCTGAATGTCATGTAGAGCTCCTTAAATATATTGGTGCTGTGTTCATTATGAGTCGCTGTTAGCTTCTCTGTGGTCGACCACACATCTCTGTATCTGTTCACTGCATGTGGTGCAGTTACATAGAGACATACATTACAGACAGGCAGTGATGTGGTCGACATCTTTGATTGACTTTTGATTCCTGATGGTGCTCTGCTAATGGTGCTAACTTTGCATGTACAGTTCGGTTGTGGTTTTGTCTTTTTTTTTTTTTTTGCCCTCTGCATTAAATTGGAAGCAGCTGAATGTGAACATGTCTTGTAGGCTGTTATGCTGTGTGTTGTTGAATGAAAAAAAAAATTAGCTATTAGTTATTATTGATCAGCTGCTGCCTGTTTTATGGGCCAACACGTTTTTTTGTTTGTTTGTTTTCATTGATTGATTGTTTTTAAAATTTCTACCAGTTCCTAAATTTAGCCCCCCCACCCCCCAAAAAAATCAGTGTCTTGTCTATAACATTTAATTTTGGCTTGTTTTAATACCTAATTCATGACTAATTAAAACGTAAATCCTCGATGAAGTGCCCTGGACCCCTGATTAAAAATCAGTAAATACATTATTCTGTTCACGTAGTTTATTAGGACATTAGGTTGCACTCAGTTCACTCAGAGCTTAGTGGTGTTGCAACATCAGCGAATAGAATAAAATCTGATCTGCATAACATCTGATTTTTTTTTGTATCAAGTTATTAAGCATGTCACAACTGAGGGTACTTTTACTCTACCACAAGAGGTCAATGTTCGCCACAGTGCTGCAGTAATGATATGGGATGTGTTGGGAGAGAGTCAGTGGCTTTATGTTGAGCTCATCAGCCTCCTGTCACAGCTGCAGCTGTTTAAGATGGATGTGTTTATGTGGAGGTAACAATGGTAATGTTATTTTACCAGGATAATCCATTCAACATCAGTGCAGCTTTCCAGGGAGTTCTGGATATCAAATCTAAAACTTCAGTCCCGTTTGACAGCCTGTAGACAAGTTTATTCCAAGTAAGACCTGTTAAACTGATTCCAGGTGTTACTGTAATGCTGCAGGCCGCTCATGAACACAGAAGATGTTGGTTCCACCTCTCAAATGCCTTCACTTCCAACCACATGCATCTGTTAGTGGGCATGACACCCACCTGAACAGGTGTCTCAGGCACAGAAGGGCAACATGATGCACAGATGACCACTGTCAGTACAGGACATTTGCAGAGGGTCGCACTGGTGGACAAAGTACTCAGATCTCTTAGTCAATAAAAAAACAGCAGTACAATAGTGTGAAAATATTTGGTTACAAGTAACACTCCTGCATTCAGTACCTTACTAAAGTAATTTTACTTAGTTAATTTTCACCACTGGAAGCTTGTCAAACCTCATGAAAACTCTAGGAGCCTCTGCTCCACAGTAATCTTAGTGAGTAAGGAGGACAATTGAAGGCAAGCAGAATAATTAAGGTTACATTCTTGTAGTGATTGAGTGAGTGGTTGTCTTCTGTCCTAGTTATAACAATAACATGTCATCTAGTTGGAATTTTTTATAGTCTTTATTAAAAAATATAAAGATTTTTAGTTCACAGTATCTTTAAAAATTGAGTGGTCACTTTGAAACTGCTGATATTTCCCAGGGTTTCAGTCTCCTCTCCATCTGAGAAGGAGTTGGACTCTGATTGGTTGGTTTCACGTCCAGCTTTTTTGTCCCAGGCACTTCCTTTCCCTCCTGAACCAGTCGCATCACCTCCGCAAAGGAAAGCTGCTTCACCTCTGTCTCTGCAGACGCTCCTGCTGTCTGGTTTGTAATGATTTCAGAGTCTGGAAGTGTCCTCTGGTTCAGCTGCTCAGCACCACAGTCCACTGGAGTCACGTGAAGAGAAGCAGAGCTCCACTGTTTGTAGCTGATGCGGTCGATGGGCTCCACGAATCTGGTGATGACAGAAGAGGATTCGTTTACTGTGGTATGAGACACTGAGTTCAGAGAATGTGGGAAAAATCATGATGTTAAATTGTAACCTGTAATGCAGCAAATGTACTCAAGTACTATTCGGTTTTGAGGCGACATGGGTGTTTAGATGTTGAGTAATTTTGTGAGTAATTACATGTTAATGCAAAGGGGAGACCACCAATTTAATCAAAAATGCGATTGGGGATGAAAAACCACAGGAAATCTGGGTTTGCAATACATTTTTTTAACCAATTAATTTTAAAAGTGTTACAGTATCAATGAAATTCAACACTTCCACACCACCCTCTGCCCTCACTGTTAGAAAGTACTGCCTTTTTAACTTTGTGAGATTTATATTTCCAAATGAAATCGAGGAATAACCTGTTGATTTCATCAGCTGAGGGATCATAAACAAAAAGTGAAAGAGAGGGATAAACAAAGCGTGACAGGTCCTCTGCCCTCTATAAAAGAACCTGCCATATAATGTTAAATCTCTCTGAAGCCAAAGATTAAAGACATTCTCAGTTTTCATAGATTTACAGGAACATTTTCAATTACTGTGTCTTTACAATCATGTATGGGCAATAACTCATTTTTAGAGACATTAAGCTTCAGACCTGGGGCTTGTAAAAACTGTTCAACTAGGTTAATAGCTTTCTGCAAATGATCTATCACCAGCTAGCTGCGAAATTCTTATTTTCCTATTAAATATAGTAATGCCTTCTCTAATGTATTGTGTACATTTTCTACCTGATGTTTTTTGTACACTATTGTTTAATAAAGATAATAGGTTAGTAACGTTTAACAAAATAGATTATCTTTCATAGCACAAATTAAAAACTGCCTTTTGAAGAAAAACTCCTCAGTGCCCACCAGCTGCATTATATTGTGCTAAACTAAACCTCTGGTAAAAAAAAAAAAAATCAAATTAGCGTGAAGTGGTTCCAGGGAGGAGGAGAACTGAGGAGAACAGGTATGTGCTCTGTCCAGCTCTCACCTATGTTGAACTGTGTGGGGAATCTGACATTGTGCAGTATGTTACATTGTAAAATGATTTTAATTTATGGTTTGTCCAAAGTAGTTGTAGCCCCAATGTTTGGCCCGTTCGAGATGAGCCAGGCCTACGCAGATTTGATCACCAGCCATCAGGTTTTAGGGCCCACCTAGCTGCTCCCCACCGACTGCAAGACCCAGGGCATGATGGGAAACACCTGGCTCTTAGGTGTTGAGTGAACAATATGATGTTTTCAATAAACTTTTCATTTTTGTGAATTTCATAAATTTAGATGGTAGTTGCCTGATTTGAAGGTTTATTCAGTGAACAGAAAACGTGTGACAGATGGTGATGTTTAGTCGCCAGAGAAACTAAATACATTCACCATAAACTATACAGAGTCTGTTGTATATTAATATTAGACTGTTTTAATTATTATTACATATATAACAACATAAAGACTGGTGGTCAGTGGGATGTGAGGATTCCTAAAATAACATCTATTAACCTTAGTCAGACACAATTTATTTACCCTCTGTAGTTGAGGGGACAGGTCTGCTCTGCAGCAGCAAACTGATATGATGCTGATCTATACGAGAATATATGTAAAATGGAGGTTGAACCATAAACATAAATTACAGATCACTCGTAAAGCATTTTAATAGTATACTCTCTTATAATTGAAACAATTCAAAACTGAGAACAAACTGATAAATGAGTATGATAACATCTTAATAATCAGCATCAGATCTGACAGGATGTGAGTGTTCCTGTGACTTCCTGTACAGACTGAAGGCTGCTGGAAACTGTCCGACTTGACAGCAGCTTTTTGTCACCACCTCCTGCTGCAGCTGCCTGATCTTATCCACTTTCCAGGAGTTCATCTCGAACAAGCCTAAAATGCCACTGGCACTGCAAAAATTACTGTTTTTTTTATTTTATTTTTTTTAAATCATGGATTAAAAAAAAATGAAAAATTCCCCAGAGCCCAAAGTGGCACCTTCACAGTACCAGATGAAGTCCAAATATTAAAATTATTTTAAATAAAATTAAACTGATTCTAATATAAAGCAGGAAATTTGTGGAGCTGGAACCATGGTATGTTTTTTTTTTTTAACTTAAACTTAAATTCTCGGGCAGCTCCAGGACACATGAGCCAATGATGCTGGTGCATCAGTGGTCACATGAAGGATCTACTTTGGGAAACGTCTACAAGTTAACTGAGACAGTTTCTCATATATATTTGATATGCCCCTTTTACTGTTAGGATCTTGCTAAAGTAGCCCTGCTGCTGATGGATTATTTTGCCTAACAAAACTCGGCACCTCCATGGTATGTGTTTACATGCAAAATTACTTTGAATATTATCAAATCAATTCATTTCCAGTCACTCCACTAAGTGATTATCATTTCAGCTGTATTTATAAATTCGGTTTGGTGATTTAATTTGTAAGAAACAATTTATAACCTCTTGATATGTTTTGTACCTAAAAATCTTACTCTAAGCTGTCAGATAAATGTGGTAAGGTAAAAAAGTGCAGTACTTCCGTTTTTGGAGTAGAAGTACAAAGTGGCATTACATGGATTTACATTTGTACTCGAGTACAGTCACTTAGTAAATGTACTCCGTTACATTCCACCTCTGTCTGCACAGATGTTTCATACCTGTTATAGAAGAAGAGTTTGAGGTCCAGTAGTTTTGTCTCCTCTGTGCTGCTGCTGCTCTTTAAACCCTTCACACCGCCCTGAAACCGCTCATCAGCCTCAAAGTCATAAGAGTTAAACCTTAAATAAACAGACTCCATCTTTGCTCTGATGTAAGGTTCATTTAACTATCATCTCATCTGACACACAAATATCAGAGAGCAGAGGGGCACTTCCGGTAATGTTTCTGTTGGTATCAACAAATGTTGTTAAAGAAGGCACACAGCTGACAGGAAGAGCAGAGCTGCAACTGTAGCGCCCCCTCAGGCAAGATTCAGTACTGCAGGATATTACAAGAAGTATTCAGATCTTTAACCTGAAAACAGTAGTAATATCAGTGTGTAAACTACACTCTGTTACAAGTCAGAGTCCTGCAGCAAAAATACATAAATATGATCAGCTATCAAAAGTAATAGTCAGTGTTCTTCAGAATTACTTGTTTTAGCATGTCAAATAATGCAATGTAGATTACTTGATTTTTATTATAATAATAATAATAATAATAATAATGATAATAATGATGATGATGATGATGATATTAGTACTTTCAATTTCAATTTTATTTATAAAGCCCAATATCACAAATCACAGCTTGCCCCAGAGGGCTTTACAGCATACGACATCCCTCTGTCCTTTGGACCCTCACAGTGGATAAGGAAAAACTTTAACGGAGGAAAAAGAAACGGTAGAAACCTCAGGAAGAGCAGCTGAGGAGGGATCCCTCTTCCAGGACGGACAGACGTGCAATAGATGACGTACAGAACAGATCAACATGATAAATTTACAGTAATCCGTATGACACAATGAGACAAAGAGAGAGACAGATCTAATAATAATAATAATAATATTTTGGTAAGTAAATATTAGTATATGACAGAATATGTATGTGACAATAATAATCATATGTGTATAATAATAGTAATAATAATAATAATAATAATAATAATAATAATAATAATAATATACTTTATTAATCCCACAAAGGGAAATTAAATTTTTATCACAAATGTTTTAATATGTGAAGTTGGAGCTGGTCTTGAAGAAGCTTTTTTTACTACAATATTTATTGTTAGGTAGTTTAATTAATTTTCATTATCACTGTTATTTTGGTTTAAATTCTTTCTACATGAAGTACTAACCTTTTATTGTAGTCCTGCTTAATGACCTGCAGTTCTATAAACCCAAAAATATGTCTGTAGTTCATATAGTTAGTCACTTTTGTCAACAGTGTGTTAAGAGGAGAATGTTTTACCAGTGCCAATACATTTATATATTAAATGTAAAAGTCAACATTAGTCCATATACATTAATAATATTTATTGTGGTGGTAGCATTAATACTGTTACAGTTTAATTGTGAGTTCACCCTGACAGTTTCCTGTTATTTGTTTCTACTATCATAAAAATATTTTTATGATTATATATTTAGTCGTAAAAAATCGCTGAAACAATTGACAGTGTATCTTGGACCCGTAGGCCTGAGGATCTGGGGTGGGTGCCCACTTTGCCTCTGTAGTAAATGATCCAGCCTTACATCAAATCTATTTTCAGTATATTTGCAAATTTACAGTTTGATCTCAAAAGTGAACGGCAGGAAAAGCATTTCCCCCTAAAGCTATTTTATTCTCTTAAAAGATTGTCATGCTCATAATGTGCAATTATGATTGTGCCTATTTGTTGTATTTCAGTAAACACAGTGTGAGCTGCAGCCTGTGGATGGAAGAGGATTATTCATCATTTGTTTCAAAATGTTTTTCCTCTCTGTCAGGAAACTTGTTTACTGCCCTACTTTCTGTGTGTTTTTGCCACCTTTTCACTAATCTTGTGAAACTGGGTTATGGTGAATTACAGACTCCACTGGGAGGTAACCCACATTGTTTCGTGTGTGTGTGTAACAGTAGATGGTGAACACGTGTGCTGAGCAGAAACGTGACACCGTGTGATTGTGTGACTCCGTCCTTGACCACCACGGGGCCAGCTGCCAGCCACCACCGAGAGGAGACAAAGAATTTCAGCTGATCTGCTCTAAGAAAGTCTGAGCTCATGCTACGAATCAACATCTAACTCCCAGGTATATTATAAAGTTACAAAACAAATCATTACACTTTAATGTGCCGGCCGCAGTTATTCAGTGACAGTGAAAGTTAAGAGTGACCATCAGAGAGTGAGGGTGAGGGCGAAGGATCGTGCTCCTGACAGAAGAGGAAATCTTATCTCATTAACTACTTAGCCGTTACTTTTCTTTTTTGAGCATGTGACGTAACAGCCTGGAGCCTCCACCTGAAGCAGAGTAAACAAGTTTCTGCATCTTAAAAAAAAAATCAGATTTTGATGTGTGACCATGAAGCCAAACATATATACAGATTAATAATGTCACAGTACATCCTGTTGTTCAGATCTCAGGTGTTTATTCAATAAAACAATTAAAGGTTATTCTCTACAAAATACTACAAAGATAATATAAAGTTAATTTGCAGTTTACAATATAAGTGCAAAATCCATTTTACATAAAGTTTAAAGTTGTAAATATGACTTAAGATTTGCAAGATTGTCTTGTAATAATATGGAGATGAACCCATCTGTAAGAAGAGATGACTGCACCAACAGAAGTCATAAGGACTGAGCTATAAAGCCTAAACATCCCACGTGCAGTCTACCAGTCCTCCCAGTTCATCCACCCTGCAAGTAAAGCAGAGCTGACATCTGAAGATTACGTCTTAAATTCCCTTCCCCGTTGCTCAGACCACTGTCAGCTGTCCACAAGTATCAGTGTGTTTCTCCGCCCGGTCACTCACAGTTGGGGTCTGCGGCCACGCTCACTGGAGGCGAGTATCTGTGTCGGTGGAGTTTGCTCTGGGTTGATGTTTGTCTCTGGGTGGAGCGAGACGGGCGAGAGAAGCAGAAGGTCAAAGTGCTGCTGGAGCTGCAGTCGTAGTTTCCATCCTGTTCAGAGACAGAGAAGAGATGACACAAACACTGAGAATGCTTTACGGCACAATATCAGTTTGTTAAAGCTCAATGGATCAGTGCTTTACATCAGTGGTTTCCAACTGGTGGGTTGCAGTCCAAAAGTGGGTCGCAGGTTTGTTCTGAATGGACCGCAAGTGACTTGCAAATATATCAAGTTTGTAAAAAACGCTTCATTTTTAAGTACTGGCATAGAGCTTATATTTTAAAGTGTCCTTTCCTGCTGTAGAGTGAGTGACTAACAGACAGCTGATTGACAGAGACAGCAAAGTAGCTCAACGACACGGCCAAACACAAGTATGACGCTCAATATAATCAAGTGTGTACTCCGAACTAATGACTTAGGATAAATCTGGATCCTGTGGCTGCACAGAGTGTACTCACTTCAGGATAAAGGGTAACTAGACTGCACTAATTTGCTGTGAGCAACTTGAGATCACTTCGATATGTGGACAGTAGGAGCCAGAAATCGAACCTCCAACCCTTTGATTAATGGACAGCCCGCTCTACCTTCTGAGCTGTCACCATCGATCTTATACACAGTAAACTAAAGCCCTGTTTCCATCGAGCAGTACTGTACAGTTCAGTTCAGTTCGGTGCGCTTTTTTCTATTTCCACTGTGAAAAGTTGTGGATGGTACCAATAGGCCTGTTTCCACCGCAGGAACTTCGGGGTAATTTTATGGGGCCGGGGCTGTGGTGCGTGTCTCCACTGCAGGAACCACCCCCGAAGGACAGAGTTCCGGAACTTTTACAGGGGTTAAACAAGTCCCTGCCTCGGAGTAGGTACTCAGAACGGCCCCGAAAAACTCCTGGCTGGGGCTTGGGGATTACTTGGTGCTGATTGGATATACTCAAGGCGGGATGTGACGTTTTGTAATTAATAACATGGTTATCGTAGATTAGCCGGGCTAACCGTTAGCTGTTAGCGGTGTCTGTAATAACTTAACAAACTGACTGTGAAAAAAAAAATCTTTTCCAGCGGATATCTTAGTTACAACATGATTGAGCTAGCAAAGCAGTTTTGTGTTGCTATGTGTGGTATTTATTCAGTTTTGGGAAATCACGATGTCTAGAAAGCATCAGCTGACAGGGACAGCTAACAGCAGCAGAAAAGCTAACATCAGGACTTCATCTGTTAAAAGCCTCCCGTTGTCGGATACAACATGAAACTACTCCAGTTAGCTCAATCATGTTGTAACTAAGACATCCGCTGGAAAAAAAAAAATTTCACAGACCGTGACCGGAGTTATTACAGACACCGCTAACGGCTAACAGCGTCCCTACACCCCTACGTCGCCCCGGTCAAAATGGCCACGCAACGATTACGTCACATACAGAGCCCGGTAACTTTACAGGAACCTTCCTCCTACTCCGCTCTCTCAGTGGAGACACGGCAGTTGAGAGGGCCGAGTGAGAGGACGTTCCTGTAGTAGTTCCTGCCCCCCAAATAGTACCAGGAACTTCTTCAGTGGAAACAGGCCTAATGAATCGTTCCGTACCGTCCCCATTTTTGGTCCCCCCTCTGTTGGGGTACCTAGCACACAGATCTGGTACTAAAAGGTGGAGCTGTGAACACTGCAGTCTGATTGGTCAGTAGAGGACGGTAACTCTGCTCAGGGCTGAGTTGTGGCTGGTTTTGAGGCTCATGTAACCACTGTTCATACTGTGGAGAGTTTTATTACAAGGCAATTGCAGCTTTAGAGCTCATGTTTGGCTTTAACTAATCAGTAATTTGATGGTCAGATCATCTCACCTCTGTGGACTCATTTCTGGAAAAGTATATCATAGAAATGTAAATGTGTAAAAACAGTATTATAAAGAGCTTCATTAAAGTGGTACTGATGGTGTTCCTGTTATTTTGTCCACATCTTTAAATTCATGGTTGATCAGCAGCAGGTGTAATAATCAGGTATCAGACATATTGTTTGTTACGCTCACCTCTGTTGTGAGGGTACTCGGGCTGTGTCGGACACCGTGGTTCAGACTGCTCCCCTTCTCCTCTCTCTGTGCCCGACCGGCCTCCTCTCTCTGCTTCATGAACCTCTGGTTTACGATCCTCGTCACGCTGTCGTTCCTCTGCAGCGGAGCAGCAGGCGGCCTCGTTGGAACGCGTTCCAGGTTCTTTAGACCGCTCTTTGTTTTCTGGCCTGACCCCGGTACAGGTTTCTCTGCCCGGCCACTCACCCTGCGCAGGAACTCTGTGACCATGCCGTAACGGTTGGTGCCCACAGGTTTGCTGGGAGGCTTGGCGCTGCTCAGGGAGCTGTTATTCTGTCCTGCTCCGACTCTTTGACTGGTTTGTCGGGTCCATTGGAGGCCGGTGTGGCTTTGGTGGTTCAGGTTCCACAGCGCTCGATCTCTAGAGGTGGATGACGATGAGGAGGAGGAAGAAGAGGAGGTCAAGTTGGTGGATGAGGGGGGAGAGGATGTACCGGATGCAGAGTGTCTCCGGTACAGTTTAGGTGAGGAGGTGGTGGGTCTGGTCCTCTCGATTCTGCCTGGTACCCCGTCCAGTGAGGCGGAGATGTGGTGGGAGCGGGCGGAGAGCAGGGAGGAGCTCAGGACTCTGGAGGGGCTGCCTCTCACAGGGACTGACCCGTCTGTCTGCTGACCAACACTCACCATAAGTGGCTTCATGAGGGTCTGAGTACCTGAACAGGCCACGTCCACCCACCGCTGCTGTACTCTCCCTCTCCTCTCCTGTGAACTGATGTGAACCGTCTGCCTCCAGCTGGCCGTCATCTCCTTCATGTCGTCGCTGAGGTTGGCAGCTGAGCCCAGGCAGAGCGGTGAGAAGGAGGTCGGTGGTGTGCACCATGGAGAGCCAGAGGTGACAGACTCTCTGTCTGCGACGGGGCTTTGCTTCAGCTGAGCCAGCTGGACTCTGCGAGCTGATGGGGGACTGTAGTAGATGCGGTAGGCAGACTTCTCCGGCGCGGTGTGGCTTCTCTCCATGGACATCTGCTCAAAGTCCAGATCAGGGAAGCTAAGCGGCATGATTAGATGGTCCCACGTCTTAACGGGGTCCTCTCGGTCCAGCTGGGCAGCCTCCTGGTTTAGATAGCACCAGTTCTTCCTCCTACAGCCGTGTGGAGAAAGCTGCTGCCGAAGTCTTTTTACTTTTGAGCTGCACATCCTGTGAAAATAGAAGGTGACACATGAGTTATGATCTCATTGTCTTCAGGATCAAGGTGGACAAGATATGAAGAGGTTGAAAAACACTTACCTGTCAGCTTCATCATGAAGGAGGCGACTGGCGGCACACTGAGTAGAGAGACAAAAACACACTTTAGCTAAACGATGGTTACTGAACTTGGAAATCATTTTACGTCAGTGTTGGCCTGAAGATCCACAGCTTTGCTCCAGACTGAAATATCACAACTACTGGATGGACTGACATGACATTTTTAATAGACATTCATGGTCCCCTGATGATGTATCCTACTGACTTTGGTGATTCTCTGAGTGGCATGGTGGTACAGTGGTTACATTGTCACCTCACAGCAGGAGGGTTCCTGGGGGGTCCCCGCATATTCTCCCCGCGTCATCACTGTCATTGTTAGCATGTTAGCCTGCTGACGCTAACGCAGCCTTACAGGGCTGCTAGCAGGGCTGTAGACTCTCAGGGTGCTTTCAGACCTAGAGTTGTCTTGCCTTGGCCCAAATCAGGGACTAATTTTGTTCCAAAGTTGTATAATTGCCTAGAGTTGTTTCGTGTTCTCACGGCAGCATTTACAAGCAGACCAGATAAAATGTCTTGTGTGAGAAAGCTGCTCCTGATTGGTCAGAATTTCCATGTGGGAAAAATCCAGGAAGTAAACAAAACATTGAAGAAGAGTACACTGGCAAGATAAATGTGACACTTTCTAATGTCACAATGGAGGGACAACTACGCAGGTTGATTTTAGCGCTGCTCATCGTGGACTATATTGCTGTCATTGTTCATTTTAGTCAAACCATACAGTTTGAAAATGAGGCGCGGCTCCAACTAGAAAACAATGTTTTGATTCATTGGATGTGCTGAATGTGCATATTAATGCAGTACAGGAGGAGGTGCACATTAATAATCCTCCAGGACTGTAACATGCTCATGTTTAACCCAAACAATGTGTCATGTGACTGCAGTTGGTTCAGATCCAGGTCGGAACACGTTCTCACCACAAACGAACCGCACCAGAGTTCGTTTGTAACCGGACTGAGACCACCTCTTCAAGAAGGTCTCGGTCCGGTTGTTGTGGTGGGCACTTGAGTGTGATTGCTGTGTTCACACCAGCCCAAACAAACTGCACTTAGGGGGCAAACAAACTTGAGTTCGATTGAATTAAACCAAGCAGTGTGCAGGTGTGAAAGCACCCTTAGTCTTGTTTTATCACAACATATTAAATGTGCCTCAGAGGAAAGGAGGGATTACAGTCTAGCCAGTGGAATAAGGAGGAAAAACAGCCATTAAAGAAATAAATCCGGCGCTTCAAAGCAGATCTTAAGTCATGCTGTGCAAAGGACACACCAAGAGTTCAGTGGCAACAACTCAAATGTTTGATTACATTTCTTATCTTATTTGCATTTGACCAAGCAGGTGGAAACAATAATTAAAGAGTTGTACATTTGAAAAATGTACATTCATGCACCAGGTCTGAGCACAGCACAACACACAGAATCAGTTGAGTGTTTTCATGCAGCAGATTTGAACATGCCTGTCCTGTTTGGCTGCAGCCCCTTACAAGAGATTAGCCTAAATACTCTGGCATCGGTCTTTTCATGATGCCTGGTGTGTCAGGAGGACGTGCGGCCAAGGAGACGGATCATGAGCAGGACTTCCCACTGTATCGCACAGCCCCGCGCACAGCAGGAGAGGCACATGCCTGGAGGGAAAACACCGTCCTTACCTCAGCTGCTTTGCCCCGCGTGGCCTTGGCCTCACTGTCAAATTCAATCCACTCATCCCGAAGCTCTGCACCGAGGTCTTGCAACAACGCCCGCAGCACAGACATGGTTTTGTCTTTACCCTAAATCAAAAAATCCAGACTTATTTAGATGTATAAATAAACAAAATGTGTTGATTTAATAATAAAAAACTTTAATTCTACCTCCTTTCCTTCCAGCTTGGGTCCTTTAACCTGACACCACTGATGGAGGATCCACAGAATCTGCAATGACAGTCGCATTTTGGGGTCCCTGCTTGCTTGCCTCATTTGTTTCTCTGTCTCCTTAATGTCTGTCATGCATGGGTCTTCACCACACTCCTGCTTACGTGGTGACTCTTTGAGATTCAGATCTTTACAGTCTCCAGAGAAAGTGCAGGAATACCAAACACGTCCATCCTTTTGAACGGACAGTTTGTCTGAATCTTCTCCTGTTAGAAGCGTCTCCACCCTCCCAATGAAAGCCAACAGCATGGCCTGCAGAAGCTCCAGAGCCTCATTCAAAGGCCCTGGTGGGAATACCTTCTGTGCCTTGCCATTCGAGTCCACCTCTGTTGGAGAGGTGAAACCACATGAGGTAGATGAGCGATGGCCGTTTTTTGGTGGCCTCATCAGGAGCTGGATGGCTGAACTCAACATGCAGGAATGATCTCTGAGAGCTAGAAGAGTTTCATAGTCTTTCACTGTCATTCCTTTGAGACCTTTGTCAGGTTTCTTGTTGTTATCACTCTCATGACTGTCCGAAGGGTCCCACTCACCACCCACAGGACCCTCTCGAGTAATCTGACAGGCAGTAATCGCCACGTCAGTCTGTGATGAAGTCTCAACATCATTTTTACCTTTCTCTGCTTCCTCATCCTGACCCTGCTCGTACGTTGTGCATCCTGTATTCAAACTTCCCTCTCTGTCCTTCTCCACTGTGGAAACTGATGGATTCTCCTCCAACACCTCCCTATTCTCTTCTTCTTCCTCTTCCCCTCCTCCTCCTCTTCCTATTTTCTCTCTCAGGTCACTCATCTCAGCTCGCAGTCCACGGTTCTCCACCTCCAGTTCGACGATGCGGCGACTCAGGAGCGTGGCCTCCTCTTCCACCAGCTTCAGGTGAACTTTGACCTCTGCCTCCCTGGCGTGGGCGGAGTTTTGTTTGCCCTCAGGCGAATGGGTGGCGTCTATGTCCCCGTAGGCTGAGTGGTATTTGGCCAGCTCCTCACGCATGCCCTCGCTCTCTGATACCAACTTGGTGAGCTTCTTGCACATGAGAGCTAATTCTTCTTTGGCAAAGTGGAGTTGGCATCTGAGATCTGCACTGTCATCCTTTGGGGCAAAAAAAGAAAGATGAATATATATCATGACAACAATATAATTACATATATACTGTAAGATACATTTTGAAGTCACATTTGAAATCAGACTTGAATTATGACGAACCTCAATCTGCTGAGAGAGCCTCTTCTCTGCTCTGCTGGCAGATGATCGGGTGCTTTTCCTCTTCAGAGTGCTCTGAGGGAGAAAACATAACAAAGAGGTGAATAAAAGGCGCAATACATAAAAAAACAAATCCAACTGAGCACCTCGTCATCGATGAACCATGTGAATTACTTTGGATATGTCAATTTCTTGAAGTAAAGTGACATACAGACTTGGCTGCACCTTTTAAACGTCTTCATCTGCCTCTCAAAATTGTGACATATTGTGTAGAGACCTCACTGAAGTCCAAAGCTCAGTGAGAGTATCCAGTTCAGCAGTTCAACATTGCATGCGGAGAGTTTAATGAGAAGGTGGAATCTGCTCTCAGATCTGTCTGTTCAGTGTGAAGCTTCAGCCAGTAGACGTAAGCTTGGCTCTGTTTCCCGCCAGCACCTCTAAAGCTCACTAATTAAGACATTAAATCTTGTTTGTGGAGTCGTTCTGATACCAGTACCAGCAGTGGAAATGCCTCTGATACTGCTTAAAATGCTGGACCAGATATTGTGAGTACTTAGGTCAATGTACCGATCCAATACCACAATAAACGTAAACTGTATAAAATGGCAGTTTTCACAGAAATCAGTTCTTTTCAAAAACTCTAAAACAATAGTTTTCGAGCAGTGAAGAAGAACTGAATTCCAGTAAATAGTGTAACATGGGTTGTAAGCAAATGTCAACAATTTGGCAATAGTTTACAGGTTTGACCTGAGCAATGCCGTACAGTGAAATCACTCATTTCACATCCATACAGGGTTAGTAGTATACAGCTGTTCTTTTATTCTTAATGCAGTGGTATCAGATCAGTACTCTGTATCAGCCAATACACAAGTTCAGACAACAGAATTAGTGTCAGGTAAAAATGGTATCAGAACATCTCTACCTGTTTGCTTAAAACATCAATTTGTGATTTGAGACTATTTCTTGGCTGGGCGCAGTGACTGTCTGGAGTCTTGTTGACCACAAATTAGATTTTTTTTTTTAAATATTATTTAAACAAGATATATTGTTATTGGTGAGCTTTAGGGGTGCTGGTCGGCAGATTTATGTTATCATTTGGCAGAGCCAGACTAGTGGTTTTTCCCGTGTCCAGTTTTTATGCTATGCTAAGCTAAGCTAAGCTAACCAGCTGCTGGCTTTGGCTTCATACTCAATGAACAGGCATGAAAGGTATGGTATCAATCTTCTCATCTAACTCTCTCCAAGGAAGCAAATTAGTGAATTTCCCAAACTGTTCCCAAATTGTTTCCGCAAAGGGAGACAGGGGTGGATAGGGTGAAACTTTAAACTAAAGAGATATCACCATGGGTGCGCCCATTAGCTAACCTGGTAGAGCAGGCACGTCATGTACAAAGGCTTTGTCTTTGCTGCAGCAGCTGCAAGCTTCCCCATTTCACACCAACTACGAAACTTTCCCAGTTGATTAATTACATTAAGAATTATTTTTTGTATTTCAAGTTTTCTGGAATTTGATATTTAAATATACAAATGATACATTATCCAATTAAATTTGCAGTGATGTACATACATTTCCAGAGCAGAAATCAAAACATTGGATAAATCCAGGTTCAAAGTTGTTGTTTCATTTTGTTTTCATATTAAATTCAAAGGTTTTTTGCAGAGGGAGTTTTGGATTTCTCTTTTTATCAATAAAATACTATCAAATGCCATTAAAAATCAGTTTTCACCTTATTTTTAGGTGTTCTATAAATCAGGCTATGAATGATATATGAACAAACCCCTCTAAAAACCTTCAGAATATAGACAGGAATAAAATTGGACAGTTTGGTGAATGTAAGTGCAGCGGAGGTGGAGATTTCTGGCTCAGAGTGTGAGAAAAAAGTAATTTTGAGAAAAAAAGGCCTTTAACTTTTAGACAAAAAAAGACATTACAGTTGAAGGGGGTAAACATTTTATGCAGCATCTCCATTAAACTTCCCTAGTTGAGTTTTCTAAAATGGTATATAAGAATATGCAAAAGAGGCATTATATAACAACACAATTTTTGCATAAATTTCCAAAACAGAAATCTGAATTAAAATATATTATTATTATTATTATTTTACACTATTTTCTTATATATTATTATATTATATTTTTTTTTTATAAATTATATAATATTATATATACTAAAATACTTTTGACATTTTCTACTAGTCTGAAAGAAATGTTTAGAAATAGTAGTTTTCACCTGCTTTCTCCCCCTTAAAGTAAAATAATTTGAACTTTTCATCATGGCCTTGTGCTGCTTTGATAGATGCCTAAAATGCACAAATAACTGTCCACAGTGAAATCTGATCCAAACATTTCTTTGCCTCTGACTTCTCCCCTTCTCTACATGACTGAGTTAATTTGTAAGTCTGAGCATTGCAGGAATGTTCGCTTCTGTCTGGCGTCATTGTCTTTCTGCGAGACACTAGACAGGATGTCACAGTGTTAATAACAGTCATTCTTCTACTGGCCACAAGTGTCAAACACAAGGAGTGGGTGTCAGTGTTTTCAATTCAAGGTCAGTGGGTCAGCAGGCTGCACAGATACTGTTACTGTCACTTGAAATGATGAATAGACACTTTTCTTGAACTGGAAAATTTCCATACTTCATGTTGCATTTCAGAATAAAACTTTTAGTCTTCACTTATGGTTTCGTCATTGTTTGGGCATCTGCAGCCACGCCGTGACCTGACAGTATTAAATTACCACTCAGCATCCCACTAACAGGGTCACAGACAGTCCAGCTGCAGTGTGAGTCTCTCAAATGTTTCATCCTCCTTCACTTCCCTCTAGACTGTGTTTTGTGCCCTTAGATTAGGTAATCTAAGTGGATTTTCCTGCCGGGATCAAAGAGACTAGCAGCTGCCTCCGATGAGTGGGCCAGACTGAGCTCATGCCAAAGCACCGAATCCTGGATTAAACCAAACACGTGTCACTGAAGTGCACGGCCGTTATCGCAGGAGCCATCGAGGCAGGAGCCGCCTCAAGAATAAAAGGTGGACTGGAAATTCAATCACTGCCGGGGTGTGGTGGCTACCATATGATAAAAGCATGTGCAAGGATGGTTGTAGGTCAGTGTGTCGGCACACAAACACCAATTTGAATGCCATAATACACGCTGATCCAGATTTAGCCCAGCTTAATAGGAGCAGAAAGAGAGAAAGCAAGTCTATTTTTGTAATCTCTCTCTCCCTTCTCTCTGTGAGGAGATCAGCTGTGCCTGGAGTTCAGGCTTCAGCATACCAGGCGGCTTCACCCCGCCCAGGCTCCACGCAGCTGCTGGCCCTCCACTCATATCATTGATCTACACCCGGGTCATGTGTCACCTGACATCAGGGTGACTGAGGGATGAGGGGGACAGCTGCCTGGGATGGGTGCAGCTGTGTGGCAGCAGAAATGGAGGAGGATTCTTGACTCGAGGGATGGAGGCTCGTGAAGGGTGTCGGTGGCAGGAGGTTGTGTTTCTGTCAAGATTCAGGCTGACTGTCTCGATCCAGTGTTCACATTTATTTATGATCCCCTCCAAAATGTTTAAGACTTAAAAACACTCTCCGTCCTCCATCGTTCTGCACAGTTAAGCTCACACATCACAGTGAAGTAACAATGAGCAAAACTAATTTTTAAATAGTGTTGTACCTCTTTGACTTTCTCCACCTCAGTCTGTAACACCTGCTTGGCCACCTCCAGTTCCTGAGTCTTCTCACGCAGCGCCTCGTTTTCCCACTCCAACTGGGACTTCTTCTTCTGCACCACCTCCAGCTCATTGTACAGCCGGAGGGACACACTCTTTGCAACCTGTAAACAAAGCCAAAAGCAGGTTAGTGTGGCTCCAATCATGGACGGAACATGAGAGAATGGGCCCCTGGGAACAGACATGCAAAAGGGCCCCCACCCGCCCTACATAGGAGCAAGACCCAGAGATTGAAAGAGACTCAAAAGTCTTTTTCAACAGACTGAGAAACAAATGAGTTCCTCAACCTGTCCAGTCGAGCCTGTAGGACTCTAAATCTTCTGTGATAGCAAAAGCTGATATTCTTCAAATAAAATGTGAGAGGGGTCGGATGTAATATTACCAGCCAGAGTCAACGCTCTTTTAGGATACGTAATTTTGGTGGTGATCGGTTGAAGCGAAGTGGATAAAATAATAAAATGGCGGGAAATCCGAGCTGCTTGGCGGAGGTCTGTGCTCTCCGAGTGCTCTAGTTTTGGTAATAGCTTCACATTTTTTGGTAATAGCTTCACATTTTTTGGTGATAGTTTTGCATTTTTTGGTGATTGTTTTGCATCTTGTTATGGTACTTTACTTTTTTTTGGCGATTGTTTTGCGTTTCCTTGTAGTAGTTTTGTGTCTCTTTGTGGTAGTTTTGTATCTTCGGGTGGTAGTTTTGCATTTTTTGGTGACAGCTTTGCATCTCATTGTGGTAGTGTGCATCGCTTGGTAAAAGTTTTGCGTTTTTTAGTGACAGTTTTGCATCTCTTTGTGGTTGTTTGCATTTTTTGGTGATAGTTTTGCATCTCTTTGTGGTAGTTGTGCATCACTTGGTAAAAGTTTTGCATTTTTTGGTGATAGCTTTGCATCTCTTGGTGATAATTTTGCATGTTTCTTATGGTAGTTTTATGCCTCTGCATGGTAGTGCTGCGTCTTTGAATGACAGTTTTGCGCCACTTTGCGGTAGTTTCTGCATTTTTTGGTGACTAGTTTGCATCTCTTTATGGTAGTTTTGCTTCTTTTGCTGATGGTAATGTGTTTCCTTTTGGTCGTTTTTCATGTCCCTGTGGTAGTTTTGCACCTTTTTGTGGTAGTTTGCATCTCTTGGTGGTAGTTTTGCCGGGGTGTTTTTTGGTAATAGCTTCACATTTTTTGGTGATAGTTTTGAGTTTCTTTGTAGTAGTTTTAGGTCTTCAGGTGATAGTTTTGTGCCTGTTGGTGATAGTTTTGCATCTCATTGTGGTAGTTTGCATTGCTTGGTAAAAGTTTTGCGTCTCTTTATAGTCATTTTGTGTCTCTTTGTTGTAGTAGTTTTGCATATATATGGTAGTAGTTTTGTGCCTCTGTGTGATAGTTTTGCTTCTTTGAATGATAGTTTTGTGCCTGTTGGTGATAGTTTTGCATCTCATTGTGGTAGTTTGCATCGCTTGGGAAAAGTTTTGCATCTCTTTATAGTCATTTTGTGTCTCTTTGTAGTAGTTTTGCATATATATGGTAGTAGTTTTGTGCCTCTGTGTGATAGTTTTGCGTCTTTGAATGATAGTTTTGCATCTCTTTGCAATAGTTTATGCATTTTTTTATGACTGTTTTGTGTCTATTTATAGTAGTTTTGCTTCTTTTCTTGATGGTTATGCGTTTCTTTTTGGTAGTTTTTCGGTTCTCTGTGGTAGTTGTATGTTTTTCGGTGATAGTTTTGTGTCTCTGTGTGGTAGTTTTGCGTCTTCTGATGGTTTCTTTGTGGTAGTTTTTCAAATCAAATCAAACTTTATTTATATAGTGCTTTTCATACATTAAAAATGCAACACAAAGTGCTTCACAAAAACAAAACAAAACAATGAAAAGCCCTCCCCTCCCACCCCTCACGTATAACACACACACACACACACACACACACACACACACACACACACGGGGGGGAGGGGGGGGGTTCACACTTCATTTTGTGCCTCTCTGTAGTCGTCACTCCTCACAGAGGCTCTGGAATTCAGGCAAAGTGCTGTGAAGCAAATCTTTTGGTCCTGATTTCACCTCCTTCCCAGAGTTGTAAAAGTTGAAATGTTTGTGACAGGAATTCACCATATGAGTGTGTGAGTGTGTGAGAGGGTGAGGCTGTTGGGAATCCTACACCACCACCACCATCATGCACACTCTGGCTCACAGAAACAGAGTCTGGTTTCCACCACAGAGGCTCATTTAACAACAGAGTGTTTGACCTGCTGTGATTCTGATAAAGATTACTGTGCTTTTATGTTTCTTACTCGTGGAGAACGACTCACCACATAATTACACCGTGGTATGACAAAAATATAAACAGGATGCATGATGAAGACATTTCCAGCTAATGAAAGTTTTGTGGTACCAACGAACATCAGGAAGTATTTTACAGCACAGCAAACAGTCGTGACTCAGGCTGCCGTCAACAGATTACAGTCCAACTGGAGCAGCAGTGATTCAGTCACAAGTCAGTTTGGGGGAATTTACTGTTTGTTGGTGGTGAGTGAATTTTAACAAGACCACACAATGACAAAGGAGGAGGAGGAGGAGTAACCGTAATGACCTCTGACCTTTATATCATGCTCTAAGCTCCGAACCAACTCCCCGTCCACCTGTCCCGTCTGAGCCACCCGGATGCTGCGGCGCTCGGCCTTGCGGAGGCGGTACTGCAGGATGCGACAGGTCTTGTTGGCCTGCTCCAGCTGCAGCCGCAGCTCCTGCAGCTGATACACCTCCTCCTCCTGGAACATGTCACGCATCTCCAGCATCTCACAGCGTAGCTCCTCCACCTCATCCTGGGACAGACAACACAGAAATACAACTATCAGGGAATCTGCTTTTGATCATATACTCAAGTGTAAAGAATTCACGTTATAAACGTCCCTTTGCTGTGAATCATCCCCATTTTCTCTCCCACTTTCCTGTCCCTCTCCAGCTGAGCAACAGCACAGACAAAAGCCCCAAAAAATAGTCTTTAAAAAATACAACATCCATTTACAATTACAGTGGATATGATAACAACCTTCAATTATTTTAAGGCACTGAAAACAGCTTAAGTTTTAGATTTGAAATATTGGGTTTTCCAATATTCCATCCATTAACAAAAACTTAAAGGGGCACTCCAAACACACCACAAACAAGACAGAATAAACATGCTACACATGGTTCTTGACAGTTTATGGATGCTTGGTGATCTACAGAGCTTCACAGATTTGGCTCCATATCTTATCAAATCGTTTCTCTTTGCTGCCGTCTTCCAACATTGTTACTCATGACGTGTGACTTTACATTCAGCCTGTGGAAACATTTGTCTAAATGTTTTCTGTGGCTCTGGTTGGCCTGCTGGTTTCATTGGCCAGATGCTGCCTTTAAATGTAATTCATGAGCTCATTGTTACGACATGGGAAGCCGTGTATACGACATGCTTGGCATTCAAGTGGTTACATCGTGAGAGCACCGCTGCCAGGAAACAGCAACATGAACACTACAGTCAGCGTCTGCAGCCACAGAAGCTAACAGCTTAGCAAGCTAGCGAGCAGATCACGTAATGCACGAAATGCAAAGGCAGTGTCAGAGGAAAAAAGGATGAGGTTGTTGGGAAAATCAACATATTCCTCAGAAATATTGTAAAATTAAACCACTAAGATTATAATAAATTATCAACAAATGATTGGTAACCTCCGCCATTTCTGAAAATATCAGTAAACACATCACAACTTGTGAACTCTGTCCTTTCAAAACATTTCCACCTACAAGGTCACATGGAATCTTCTAATGAACATGGCAAATATGGCCGCATTAAAAGGCAGCATTTACCCTGATGATGTCACAGTGATGTCATCAGGGTAATCTCACTTTGGGCTTGAGATTTAAAGATTTTAACAAAAAACGTCTGTGTTACAAACTGGAGGTGTGACTTTGAAAGAAGTGGAAATTAAGGAGGCAAAGGGACCAAATGAAAGATGCTGTTATGTTGCATTATGGGAAATGTAGTATCTGGTGTTATTGGACTAAAAGTGTAGAATTCTCAGCTTCTACCACTTTGGTTTTGAACTTTCTTTAAGTCTCTCTCTTGAAAGTCTTCCAACTTTATGAAATTTCAATACATTGCTTGAGTGCCCCTTTAAATGCATTAAACAAATAAATTCAACCTTCCTACTGGAACTTTTGACTGGTTTAGTTTCCACTTTTGTTAAACTTAAACTTATTTTTTTACTGTAATAACATTGATACAAGGCATTAGTGATATGGTGAATACCAAGACTTTGGCTTACACATTTATGGAAGACACAACAGCCCCTAACTCACAGTGCATACACAAAATTATTGCTTAAATAAATGCCACCAGAGATAAATGTCAAAGTCACTGCTTTGAATTCTCGAGTAACTTCCTACTTTTGAATTGCACCAGTAAAATATCAGTGTTGATGTTTGTTTGTCTTGTTGTTTTTTATGTTTGCTTTGCAGTTTATTTTTTCCAGCACAACATGGAAAATGCTTCTGATGGTGCCACAGATCATTTGTGTCTCTTGCATGAGATTTTCCGACCACTTGTCCTGAAGTCTTTAATGAAGACTGACAAGAACATTGAGAGGAAATCGGCTCTGGTGTTCAGAGTCTGAGGATCTATTATAGAGCTCACAAAGAAGCAACATACAAACGTGGAAATTTAGATGCGAACCTCCTGGATGTCATGCAAATACAAACCGAATTAAACAAATCAGATTAAAGCCAAATTAAATTAAACTTACTTTCAGATACTCGTTCTCTGATCTCAGATCCTCCACCTCCCTGACCAGATCATCGGTTGTCTCCCCCATCATGAGATCCATAAACGCCTCTGAGGAGTTAAACAAACTGAGCCCGGCTCCAGCAGCATCAGGCTGCAGAGCGCAGGTATCCCTCGGCACCTTTACGCACGGTTTGCCGTCGCCTTTGCCCTCACTGTCCGAGCTCAAATAAGCTCCTGGCTCTATCCAGCTTAAATCACTGTCGCTGCTCGGAGAGTCCTGCTTACTGTTGCCCTCCGAGGGGCAGTCGGAGATTTCTGAGCTGCTGTCTGAGGAGGAGAGTTTCCCAGACGGGCAGCCGGAGTCTTTGCTCAGGTCCTCTGAAGCGTTGCTGGCATCGGATAACTTCCTCTGCGCACCGGGGCACTCCACCGTGACACTCAGTGACACTTTGCCCGATCGTTTCCCCTGCTGTCCCGCCGGTTTCACCTCCTTCCCAGAGTCACAGGGACCTGACAGAGAGCCACATTGAGCATCTTTAGGAGCCGGGTCCTTCTTCTTCTTCTGGGCAGAAACCTGCTGTTTCTGGCTCCGGAGCGCAGACTTTGCGCTCTTGTCTCCGTCTCTGTTCATCGCGACTCTTTTTCTTTAGGTTTTCTTCTTCTTTAATGTGGGGAAAATAGGAGATTTTTCTCAGTTCTAGATGATCATGATGTTTCCACAAATATGCTGAGAAGTCTTAAGCCCTCACAGCTCAGTGAAGAGGACCGACTGGTTGCTCTCCATCCTGGAAACTGAAACTTTGCCAAAATGCGCGCAGAGAAAGAGGGCAAAAAGTGACCGGCAGTGTCACACTAACACAGCCTATTGATGACTTCCGGTCTTCATTTCCAAAATAAAACCGACTCATTAACCCTTAACGAAGATATAATGCATTTTATTTTTCCTTTTAATAAAGAAAAATATGTTTTACACGTGTTTCCATCTTTTCCAAACAGTTTTTATTCTGATTAAAACAATTTATCAAAAACATGTCAAACATAACTCACTGAAAAGTTTGTAATCATCTGCTGTATTAATGTTTTTCTTCTTTTCTCCAGTAATGGCTATTTTTAAATAATAGAAACACTATAATTCAGACACTACATATATTAATTACTGTTGAATTTGTCCCCAAAAGAAGAAGAATTAACTGATTAAAACTTCATGTACTTGATGTCCTCAGTGTTTCATGACAGGGGAGAAAACTGTTGGAACTTTGATTCATTCATTGATGAGCTTTATGATTATTAGTTGTAAATACTGATCGATTTTGTTTGGAATTATTTTCTAGAGTAAAACCAGTTTGACAATTACTATATATATTATTGAAGAGGAATTTAGAATTGTTAAAAACAAAGCATTCATATTGGAAAAAAATGCAATAAATACATCTAATAAATATTTGGCACAGCATGAGATTGATTATATTAACAATAGTATTCACAATGGAAATATGATGTTTTGATTTCATCATTGATAATTTGATTGAAATTAAATGGGTTGAATTAATTGACATGATTTATGTTTATGTCTTTGAGGTCATCAAACTAATAGCAAACTGATCATCATGTCAGTAAATGAAGGAAATAAGTGGAGTTGTCTGGCGTCCTCTGTTGTTGCCTGTGGTTGACTTCATGCAGGCATTGAGGCTGAAACCCAACAGAAACTCAACCTGTATTTTATTTTTTCAGTTCAGAAAATTGTCCCTCGATCATCACTGAACCACACTGGTGCAACTGGGCTCCAAATATTGAGTTTGTCTGTAAATGTTGGGCCCACTGCAGTCTACTCAGTAGTTACATTGAGCAGGTTTAAAGTGTGATTTGTCAGTCCACAGTGTGTTCATCTGATATTCCAACAGTACCAGCCATGGACCAACCCTCTGTTTCTATTGTGAAGTTTGAAGAATACCTTTACTGTAAATTCCAGCTCATTACAGACATTATTGTGCACTTGACAATGAAACAGGAACCTGTTCCCATTTAAACCTACACACATTTTGATGCTAAGCTCCCAGTTTCTTTTACCAATGATGGGTGATTTCCTAGGTTCTTATTCAGCTGTTGTTCAGGGGGATGTTTGACACTTTTTCAACTGTCAGTCTGGTTGAACCATTGCACCGTGTTTTGTTCTCCATGTACAAAACAAACTGTTCATACAAAACAACACTGAGTTATTAAGAAGACCTTCTACAACCTAAAAGCAAGAAAGGGCATTTGAAAAGACAAAGTAGTCCTCTCAGCCACCTGAGTGTTTCCAATCAAGCTTTAGTGGCAGAGGATTTCCTGCTTTTAAATGGCAGTGCATCTTAAATAACAAGTAATGCTAAAATAGTAATAATTGAGTCGATTAAAGGCAATAGGAGAACGTTTTATTTATTTTCTCATATTTTATATCTATAACGAGGCTATATATTTACATGTGATAAAATATAATGAAAACCTAACTGGTTTGTATTTGTTTTATTATATATATATTTATTGTATTTATAAATTATTTTATTTTTGTTATTTTTTACAGTCTATGGGGAGAACAGACAATTTAAGCTTTTATTTTGAAAATTAGTACTTCCGGTCTTACTGAGACAAATGCTCCATGTTGTTGCCCTCAGTTTCCACTTTCTTCTTTGAAAATCTGACGAGCGATTGAACAGTCAGACTTGCCTCTGAGTATTCCATTTAATTATTTATCTACACAGTCAGCAGGTTGATCACATATTTATTTGACAAATATCAAAGATGCTCTGAACTGACTGCTAATTTTAAAATAGTAAAAAAAAAAACTTACTGCACGTCAAAATTTAATTTAGTTTAAAATAAATCCCTTAATTCTAAATTAATTATAGGGTTAACTGATCATAGGTGAAAAGCTGCCACCCTGTGGATCAATGACGGAGCTTCAGCTCACTTATCAGTCATCACACAGCTCTCTTCACACCGTGAATGCATCACAGGTTACATCACATTTGTTAAATGGCTTCATGTTGTCTCAATAAGAGACTGATTATAAATGTTAAACTCGATGAAGTTAAGCAATAAATATGATCTCAGATTCATTCAAACATTTTTACGTAAGTCTAACCGCTCTGTCTCGTCATCACTGTTGTCTTAACATCCTGTCTGCTCATTGGACACCAGAGAAGGTGTGTCGAGAAACACAGGAACCTGTTATTGCTCAACGTGTCCTTCAACGAGACCACAGACCAAAGACATCCATCATAGAAAAACAGTGAAGAGAGAAAACCTGACATGAGAAATGTGGAGTGGGGGTGGGAGGTAATGTTGGTGAAAAATCTGCTTTAGTGCATCAGAATTGACTGCAGAGCATCTGGATCAAAAATGTATTTACCAACAATTTACTAACACATAACATAACTGCAGATGTCATAGCTTATTGTTAATACATTTTATTAAGGTCTTTACACGTGCAGATTTATTGGTAAAGTTAGAAACCCATGAGTAATCTTTGATTGATTGTCATCATGTACTGCATCATTTGTATGCCTCATTAGAAAGTCAGTAGCAAATATATATTTCAGACAGCTGATGTGAAACTGAATTCCTTATATATGTATATATATATATATATATATATATATATATATATACCTTAAAATGCCTTTACTGTTCCCATTCATGATTATATTATTAAGGCATTTGTAATGGGAGTTTTATAAATGAATGGCCTTACAGTGTTACAGTATTTTTGATGCATTATGTTATTGTGTTAATTAAGAGTGGGGAAAAACGAATTTTAATTAAGAGGAAAATTAAGGGATGGTTTTCATGTTATGAGCTGGTCAGTTTTAATTGATTTTTTTTATCTGTAATAAAATTTTAAAAAGCTTTAAGTGTGCTACAGTCAGTTTAAGGTGCAGTATTTTAATGAGATAATTTTAAGGAAGTGACTAACCCATAATATCCACTGAAAAGAAAAACGAACTATGTAATAATATTCTCCCCTTGCAGAATTGTTGCCAGTTTTTAAATGAAATCTCAAAACTGGTCCTGTATTATCTTGTTTATTATGTATATTATTTTTTGTATTTTAGAATAGTTCGGGATTTTATTTCTGTTTAATTTTGTATTATTTTATAGTGTCTGATTTTATTCCTGGAATGTTTTAATCCAGGTTGAACCATGTAAAGCTCTTTGTAACTTTGCCTTTAAACAGTGATGTATAAATAAATGTTATAATTAATAATTTAATAAATAAATTAAGCAGTAATTTGAACGCGTGGACGTTTTAATGTCAGATAATTGACTCTGATGTGAAAACAGCTGCTGGACTGAACAGCCGCTCTTTGACTTCTATTTCTAGAACTCTCCTGGCTGCGCTCTGATTGGCTGTCGCACCTGTCAGTCACGGTGTCCTTGCCGTCCACTTCCGCCCTGTTTGAGAGGCAGATCACTCTCCGCTTGTTTATGTCAGCTGAGCTTTAATTTGATTTTAACTCACAGGTATATGTAATTGTATTGTGTTTAAACCTTCGTGTCAGTGTCTACGTGGTTATCGTTAGCTTCTCTCCGCTGGCCACCCTCCATTTAACGGTTTAACTTATCAGCAACGATGCTAACGGCTAGCTAGCTAGTCAGATAGCTAACTCCTAGCTGAGGCTCTTTGGGGAGCAGAGCTACTGACAGCGAGCTAGCAAGTTGTTATTATTAGTCATAGCATGTATTAGATCATGTTTGGCTGCCGTGTGCTTTGTGTAACGCGTCCGTGCTGTTGCAGGTAGTGTGTGTGGCTGTCTGTGATGCTTGGAGCGAGGCTGGGCTGCAGGGACAGGCCGATGGTGGAAACATGACTTCTGAGTAACGCACAGTTACTTTCTCTGCTCAGTATGAACAGCGAGGAAGAGTTTTACGACGCTGAGACAGGTGAGACACGCTGACAGATGTCTCATATAGTTAAGTGTGCTTGCTTTCTGTGTCTAAATGAATCCTCTTCTCTTGCCTCCATCAGGGCTGGAGTCAGATGATTCCTGTGAGGTCAGTTTCAAAGATGCCCTGGTGTTTGACTGTAAGCAGGTGACTGACGGCAGCGCCACACAGGAGAATGGAGTGTGGGAGCGAAGGTGAGGGGTCATGTACAAGAAGTGTGTTTGCATGTTACCACATGACTACGTTTGTCTTTGGGTGAGGGGCTGGAGGGGCTCATTATGCATGCACACACACGTGGAAGCACACAAGGCCAGTGCGACCACATTTTTATGCTGTTAGCTAGTGAATACCTCCATTGCAGAGCATTTAGAGTAACTGCTGGTGAAGCTAGTCAAGTCTTATGTTTCAGCTTGAGAGACATCTGGATTTTAAAGCAGTACATTGTGTTCTTGAATGATACACTGCCTGCAGTTAACAGATACACTGTGAAAAGTTTTATTGGATTTAACGTCATTTTAATCACATTCCGTCGTAATGTGTACCAGGAAAAGCCTGCCTGCTGAAATGATCTCCAGAAGCAACTTCAGTGTGTGGAGCATACTGAAGAAATGCATCGGCATGGTGAGTCCTACCTTCCTCCAATTGAATCTGAATTTCTGTCGTCAATTTTGCCACAAACAGGCTGTTGTCAGATTCAGGGCCTAGTGTGACATGTTTTTTTAAAATAATTAAATACTGCCATGTTTCAGCTTTCATCACGCCGCTACAAGATTAGTCATGTCTGAACTCTCTTCTCTGCCCGACATTTTATGTAATCATCTGAAAGAACCAAAATAGCTCAAATGAACATC